ATATTAAAATCAAGCAGAATCTGTGGGTGAAGTGTTATAAAACAAATATTGAATGCTTTATCTCGTGGTGAAGTAAAACTAGCCTCCCTCGGCGATCCATGGACCATTCTATTTTCCCTCGGCTTCGCCTCGGGAAAATAGAATGTCCATGGATCACCTCGGGAGGCTAGTTTTACTACACCACTCGAAGCATTCAATATTTGTATAATATCTTTACCATGAGGCTTATAGTCCAGCGGATATGTGACAAAATATCGATGAATTGTGCACTTTTGCATAAAAGCGTGAAACTTGGCACAGATGTTTATATTCATGCGAGAAAATGTTTTAGATGTGGAGCCATCGCAAATTTACCCTTTTAGGGGCGTGGCATCCATTTAAAAAAAGGGGGCGGGACTTGTCGTGCCCGCAGTAAAAATGGTTTTTCCCACTTGTAACAAAAGCAGGAAACTTCACAAGACATAATTATATAGATTATTAGTGTTTTCCAGATTCGGAGCCACCACAAAGTACCTTTTTAGGGGCGTGGCAGCCATTAAAAGAAAAGGGGGGGTAAACGAATAAAACGTCCCACAGACGTTTATATTCATGAGAAAAAAAATTCCAGATGTGGAGCCATCCCGAACACACCCTTTTAGGGGCGTGGCATCCATATAGGAAAAAAAGGGGGAGGGGTTTTCATTATGCCCACCCTGGAAATATTGTTCCCACACTCATAGAGAAATGGAACTTTCCACAAACATTGACATTCATGAGAAAACAAATTCCAGATGTGGAGCCATCTCGAACACACCCTTTTAGGGGCGTGGCAACCATATCAGAAAAAAGGGGAGGGGTGGGGTTTTCATTATGCTCACACTGGAAATATTGTTCCCACATTCATAGAGAAATGGAACTTTTCACAGACATTGACATTCATGATAAAAACAATTCCAGATGTAGAGCCATCGCGAACACACCCTTTTAGGTGCGTGGCAGCCATATTGAAAAAAGGGGGGGCGGGGTTCTCATTATGCCCAATATGGGAAAAATGTGCCCACATCTCATAAACGAATGAAGCTAATTTCCACAGACATTAATACTCACGAGATAAAAATCACACGTGGAGCCATCGTAAACACACGCTTTTAGGGGCGTGGCAGCCATAATAAAATGGGGGGGGTAGTCATGATGCCCCTATAAAAGAAGTTGTGCCTACCTTTCATAAATGGATTAAATTCCACTCGGACAGTACATTCATAAAAATCTTTTTTTTTAATGTGAGGCCATCACAAACCTACCCTTTTAGAGGTGCGGCATCCATTTTTAAAAGGGGGGGGTACTCAATATGCACAACGTGGACAATTTTGACCGCGTTTCATATAATAAAATCCACCTCAGATAGCTGTTTAATGTGTTGGAGTAGGGCCGCCTTTATAGTTGGAATTTACTGTTGACAAACCCTTTGTTTTCTTACACTATTGCATTCTTGCCTCATCTATATTAACCCAGTTACTGGTTATTTCGTCTATAGAATTATTGATAACCTTTCAACTGCAGCAATATCTGAATTAGGGGTATAAACTGGGGTACCTCAGTTAGTCCTGGAAAGACTAGTGTTACTTCTTCAAATACATTGTTTCCCCTGCCTTTTTTTCTGACAGACCAAAAGGCATATGCAGTGTCGCACCTGTATAACGTATAATTTTTTTTAATGGATTTGGTCGGGGTAAAAAAAAAACACTCATAAGAGCTTGATATACCATTTTTAAGAGAACAGAGGTGTTGTGTGGTGGGGGTACACAGATTCATTGAATGTGAAGTCATAGTGGATGTGTCCACCACTTTGTGAGGCGAGTACATCGTGTTGTTACCCAATCTGCTGTCAATGCGGCGCAACAGGTAAGAAGTAGGGGGATTTTACACTCCCCCCCCCCCCCGTAAAAAAAGGATTTCTATGGCCCTTTAATGCTAAATGTTAGAGTTTAGGGCTGCCATTGTGTGCTGTGTATTTTTAATTATGAAATCACTCTGGAATTTAGATGTGCATGATAATATAGGTGCAAGTACACACATTGAACAATATAACACGGGTTAGCCTACCGGTACTTACCCATGCTCTTTGGGGTAAGTCATTGTATTACCAAATAATATAGGTTATAGGCCAATCAACATTATAAGAAATCAACAACAAAATATAAAAATGCAATTGTGGGCACAGTGAGTAGGCCCCTCACACCTCTAAAAGGATGAGTTTGCTCTGGCTCTACATAAGAACTTTCTTTTATAGGTGCATCATGACTACCCCCCCCCCCCATTTTATTATGGCTGCCACGCCCCTAAAAGGGTGTGTTTAAGATGGCTCCACGTGTTATTTTTATCTCGTGAGTATTAATGTCTGTGGAAATTAGCTTCATTCGTTTATGAGATGTGGGCATATTTTTCCCATGTTGGGCATAATGAGAACCCCGCCCCTTTTTTTCAATATGGCTGCCACGCCCCTAAAAGGGTGTGATCGCGATGGCTCTACATCTGGAATTGTTTTTATCATGAATGTCAATGTCTGTGAAAAGTTCCATTTCTCTATGAATGTGGGAACAATATTTCCAGGGTGGGCATAATGAAAACCCCGCCCCCCTTTTCCTGATATGGTTGCCACGCCCTTAAAAGAGTGTGCTCGAGATGGCTCCACATCTGGAATTTGTTTTCTCATGAATGTCAATGTTTGTGGAAAGTTCCATTTCTCTATGAGTGTGGGAACAATATTTCCAGGGTGGGCATAATAAAAAACCCGCCCCCTTTTTTTTCCTATATGGTTGCCACGCCCCTAAAAGGGTGTGTTCGGGATGGCTCCACATCTGGAATTTTTTTTCTCATGAATATAAACGTCTGTGGGACGTTTTATTCGTTCATGAAATATGGGCACAATGTTTTCCAAAGTGGGCATAATAATTAAACCCCCTTTTCTTTTAATGGCTGCCACGCCCCTAAAAAGGTACTTTTGTGGTGGCTCCGAATCTGGAAAACACTAACAATCTATATAATTATGTCTTGTGAAGTTTCCTGCTTTTGTAACAAGTGGGAAAAAACATTTTTACTGCGGGCACGACAAGTCCCCCCCCCCCTTTTTTTAAATGGTTGCCACGCCCCTAAAAGGGTAAATTTGCGATGGCTCCACATCTAAAACATTTTCTCGCGAATATATAAACATCTGTGCCAAGTTTCACGCTTTTATGCAAAAGTGCACAATTTTTTCACATATCCTCTGGACTATTAACATCAAAACTGAATATAATAATTATAAATCTTAAACATGTATTTAAAAAAAGTGTTCAAACAAGTACACTGTTTTTGAACAAAGCGTATCCCCTTTAAATTCTAAACAAGATTTAAACGTAATGAACACAACTAAATAATTATGTTAGTATAATGTCTGCTGCTGAACATAATAGGATTACCAAAGTTATAACATTCGAGCTACTCAAATTATATACACATGTACAATGGAGTCCTACCAAATGTGGTCTCGATCCTCAATTGAACGAAAAAGTACCATTATTAGACCCCCACATTTAGGCTAAGACCACAACTGAAAAAAATATAAGGTGTATGTACAAACTTATCGTTTCTAGGAAGTTTGAATGGCTTGGGCGAATTCGGCCAGCAGATCATAGGTATTAATCAAGGTATTTAAGCCTACCAAATATGTCTTTGTAACAAAGCTGGGCGGACAAACTGTAACGTGAGTTCCTGGAACATATCCCTCCGGAGATTTATGATTAATTTAATATTGTTTTAATAATTGAAATCATGGTAGGATATGACTGGGAAAACTTTCAAATGAAGGTTTTTTTTTTAATTTTGCCATGTCCTTTTCTTGTCACGAGAGTTACCGATAAAAAAAAAGTATTGCCAAACTAACAGAATGTTTTTGTTGGCCTTTTTGGTTGCGTAGTCTCTGTCTTAATTGCAATGGATTTCTGTGAGACAAACCCACCCTTAATGCTTTGACTTTATAAAATAATAACACAGAGTAGACGGAAGACCCATTCCAAATGAACCGTAAAGTATCATGCAATGTGCCCACATACAATTCCAAAGAAGAGAAACTAGGGAATAGATTTTGAGTGAAAAGACGAAAGTAGGCCTATACGTTGTTTGAACAGGAGTCACTTCGGTCAAAGCTAGATCTTTTTGAACGCATACATTTCACCCAATTATGTCTTGTTCACATAGGGAGCGAATTTTTTTCATGTACAAAGAGTGAATTTGCATAGTTTGAAAACACAGTAAGCCTTTTAGATAGGGATTTTTTTTCATAAGCAAAATGTAATTTTATCTTAGTGAATTCCATCGTCTTAAGTCCTCCTACGCTACGTGTATATGGTTTGGCAACGGACTTTTAATTTGAAATGTCTCTGATCTTTAAGTAGTACAACTAAAAACAAGTGCACATTTTGTAAAATTAAATTTCAATATTCATTTAACTATTGTAGATTGAATTCACCGGGAGAAAAGTTGCTCGTGAACTATAATTAAAAGAAGAGTCATATACCCAAAATACGTCATGCATCAACAACTTTATATAATGGCTGACAGACAATTCGGGCGATTCTTAATGCAGTGCGCCACCAAGAGTTTGCCTTGGAAAGTCTGCTTTTCAAATTCACGGTCGACAAAACGTGGCCCATTTGAATCAGTGTCTGTAGACAACTTGATCATATTTGTTATAGATTGGGATATAGCGTTCTGCCGCTATACCAAAAAAAACCCATTGTTGAAAAGAAAAGAAAAGGGCAAACATAGACCTACTCGGATCATACCCTTACGGAACTACTGACCAGAAAAACTAACAATTGACGTCCAGCGCTGCGAATTTGTCGACCATCTCTCAACGCTTCACTTGGAAACATGAACTTTCCGTGGCAAACGCTTGGTGGCGCACTGCATTGTGAATCGCCCGAATTAAATCAGTACAAATAGCCAATTACAATATGTACACCATGGATGACCTTATTTGTGTGGAAGTATCACTCGGTTTCAGATTATTAAAAAGAATAAAATAAACACTACGAATGAAGTCAACATCCAATCTGGACTTTGTATTCCGAAGTATGACATGCCCACTATCAAACGCAAGGAGGAAAAAAAAAGCATTGGAACAGTTTGCGCTAGCCCTCTCATCATCACTCACGTGAACACACCTTGCTCACGTGACGGTGTCTGGCTTATTTGTCGTCGAGCTCCAATCGAACCATGTTTTCATATATTTTTGGATCCACGGCCATGTAGGTCTGGGGAAAAATTCGAAATATGATAATGTGTAAAATTCATGATATGATATCATCTAGTTATCGTAAAACTCATCTGTATCAGTGGCGGATCGTGGTGGTAGTGGGTTAACTCCCCTCCCCCTCGGAGTCGCAAAAAAGGGAGGGGAGATTTAAAAAAAAAAAAAATACCCCGCGGTCAAAGATACCAGGTTCTTCGATCAATTAGAGATGTTAAATATGGCTTTAAAAAGTAGAACTTAGGCAAGTTTTTAAAACACAAGAAGTTTGCAAAACTGCATGAGAAAAATGCAAAACACCTTATGCTTCATTTATTGTCAACGCTCGCTGATACTGATGAAAACTATTTTAACTTTGGACTCACATGTTCTATTTTATTTCCATCCATCTTACTCAAGATGGATACCAGGTCAATAAACGAAGGTCTTTTGTTCGGATCATCGTTCCAGCACAGGATCATCACGTTGTATCTGTATGTCAAAAGAATCAAAGGCACAAATTAATTATTTCTTAACATGCTTTATGTTTATAGGGGCACCCTATTTTAGAACCATGTCATTTGTAGAAAGGAATGTTTCAAACTTCCAATCGTTGGGTATATGTAACGAAAAAAGATAAATCGAATTTATGACATCAATAGAAGAATTGACGCCATTGTGTTTGGGAGAAATATGGAATACATTTTAATTGTATTCATATTAGAATAAACAGTTATCTTTTAATTCAAGCGGAATCTGTGGGTGAGGTGTTATAAAACAAATATTGACTACTTTAACTTCTCCCCTTCGCCTCGGGAAAAAAAAGAGTGCCCCGTGGAAAACCTCGGGAAACTAGTTTAACTATACCAGTCGAAGCAGTCAATATGTGTATTTTACTCGAAGAGATGCAGAGCAAGTGCAGTACCAAACGTGTAATTTAATGTCCTCAGTCATAATATGCAGTTCACTGATATAGCAAAATGAATAATACTTCAATAGCATTACATTTCATCGTCACAGTTTCGTGGTTTAGACATGCGATATCCTTCCTTCAACAGGTCTGCTAAAGATCGTGCATTCTTGACATCTGGATACGGGGTTCCACCTTCAGACACATATAATACAAACGTCACATTATGCGAATTTGACATCCCTGTTACTTAAACAACGAACTGACTTTATTAGTACCGCAGATATGTGATCGGATATAGTGCCATCGCAGATTTGTCCTTTGGCCATTGGTATTCAGTTAAAAAAGGGAGGGAAGTAACACCCAAGCCACTCGTTACAATGATTTATTTTTGTGTGTATATTTCAGTATGGTTTGTAACTCTCAAATGAGACATTGTCAAGCAACAAAGCTTTGTAGCCACTAGATCCTTATTTAAATTGGATTGACAAAAAGGAACTTACCGAGGGTTGCTATTTCCCATAACAGGATGCCAAACGACCACCTGTGGAAGAATTAAAAATGTGTCGCTCAGTCAAGGTCCTGGTAACTTAAACTTCGGGGGCTATTTTCATAAATTTTCTTTTGAAATGAATTAAAGTTGAATATATTGAAAGACCCAAACACAATGGGCAAGATTATTGCAAGAAGAATTGCCCATGTCATCACAAGCGAATCTATCGAACCTTCAAACAGTCCATGCGCAATTACTTTAACATTCCCTTACAACCACGCCATGTCGCCCTCCGCAGATTTAACCACAATTTTTCAACCCATGTCTCTCAGACGAATTGGGGTAAAGAAAATTTGCAAGGCTCGATTGTGGCATAACCGATAACAACTTACACATCGCTCTGAGTAGTGTAGGTCTGGTGTCTTAAAGATTCCATAGCCAGCCAGCGGGTAGGAACACGTCTCTACGAGTATATTCAACAGAAACAACAAAGCTGTTTACAAAAGGTTTTGAAATTATCCATCGAGCCCCCCCCCCCTCCTCCTGACCCACCCACACACCCACGCTTACATAGGCATAGAAGTGGGGTACTTCCTTTATTCTCGTGTACTAACATTTTACAACGTCGCACACTAATGTCAAAATGCTCTTATTCTAACCAGAGTTAATGTCTTGGGCTGAAATTCGGACGTAATATCCCTTTTCTAAAACTCTTCTATTTGCGACAAATCAACCCACCTTGGAAATTCCTAGTTTTTGAGTAAAATCCGTATATCTATTTCGTGAAAAACTTGTGGGGTACCAAAATGGTACCCCGCAAGTCGGTGGGCATTCCTTGTGGGGTACCTCCCATTGTTCCGGTACCCCAAAAGGCAGTGTTTGCACACGCACCCATACGCACACACTTAGTATTTAATGCCTGCAATCGGGGGCCCCGTCCCTCTTTTGTATGTACACGGTTAACTTTTTAGGAAGTCCTTCCATATGTTTTGTACACGAATCCAAATTGAGGACCTCTCGGGATTTGGGGATCCTACTGTCCTCTATTGCTCAACGTCCACTATTGAATGCAGAAACAAACTCAGGCCATCATAGAGGTCATACACACAATCATGCTTCGTATGTAAAGGACCGTCGACCAACGTGATAACGGGACTATAATTTATTCGAATGTTCCCCACATCCGTAACTCGTAATTGTGCTGAACAGCGCAATATACTAGAACAAATTTGATCCATAAATAAAAGAAACTCACAGTTGACGTCTGAACATAGATATCCTCTCCGCGCGACAGGCCAAAATCGGAAACCTTTGCGATTAAACCATCCCCAAGCAGAACATTTCTCGCCGCCAAATCGCGATGTATAACCTGTATCAAGTATAAAAGCATGACTGAATTCGGACGCAGAAGTTCCAAATTGTTTTTGTGTTTTCATCTAAGACCATGAGAGGACGCGCAGGCCTACCCCTGATTCAGCGAGATGTTTCATTCCCTTGGCGACATCCAAGGCAAATGTGACAAGCTGGTGTGACGTCAATGCACCCTTAGAGCTGGACGTCGAAAAGTTCGCTCGCAGATAGCTTCGCAGATCGCCGTTTCGAAGATACTCAAGAGCGACATACAGGACGTCTGAGATAAAAGCAAATACATGTGTCAATCAGTGTTTCAAAACCATTATTTTATAAAATGATGGAAATCCCTGGATTAGAAATTTAAGGGTAGAAAACGCTTCAATGAAATGTTTCCAGTAACCTATACCAATAATACAATTTCGAATAATGTCACAGGCTGGGTCTCTGGGTTCTAGATGTTATCAGGGAACCAATTTAATTTCAGTAAAATTGGGGGGAGTTGTCAGGCATATGTTAAAAAAAACTGCAATTATAATCAATACTTTTCGATATTTTCGGATTACCTTCATGCTGACAAGCACCGAGCAGTGAGACCACATTTTCATGGTGGCCGATGGAGGACATGGTACGGAATTCGTCCATGAAGTCGGCACGTTCACTAGCTGAGGCTTGTCCTGAAACAAGTACAAAGAATTATGTCATCACTGTCATCATCGATAGGTATCACTTAAACATTTCTAAATAAGTAAGATGCGTGTCTTTATTATTTTTGTAACATCAGTGACCTTTCCCTACTGCCAAAACGCAACCAAATATAAACCATGTGTCAGGTGGCGTCATGCCGACAGGCAACCGGCGGGCACCCAAAACATTATTTTAAGCATTTTTTTTGCATGTTATTTCGCACACACTTTCGAACTATTCACACTTCAAGAGATATGCATGCATTGCCGAAGGGAACTATTGGCTGGAAGATGTCAGCATGTGACTCCAAAACATCAAATTTTAAACATAATTATGTCACTTGGCCTACACCACATCTTGTATGAATGATCGAGATTTACACTTAAAAGGGGCACAGCTGATCTTATGATTTGAAAATTCAGTGTTATGTTCGTGATTTGCGAATCAATTATATCAACATTTATGTATGAAGAAAACACAACATTCTAAGTTCGTTACATTCCAAGACAGTTGACCTTGTGTTGTGGTCCATTGGATATGGTGTTCGACTCGTGTGCCGTGGTACATGGGTTCGAATCCTGACCGTGGGAACATGATTCTTGTGTTTTTGAACAAAACACTTTACCATTATTGCTTCGTCCTTCGGATGGGACGTAAAGCCGTAGGTCCCGTGTGTTGTGTAATGCACGTTAAAGAACCCAGTAACACTTATCGCTTAGAGAAGGGGTTTACCCCTCTGTTTCTGGCAGTGCTGGCTGCAATATGCGCCACAGCACCTCGTATACAATAAGGTGCTACATAATAGGTCTCATAATCTCATGAACTTTATTGACCTATCTCTAATATTAGACATAATTTCCAGCGCCTTGAGTATCTAATTGTTAGTAGATACGTGCGCTATATAAGACTCCGGTATTATTATTTTTAATAACATAGAAGCAATGTGAGGAGGTGTGGTTCATTTTACCTTTGAGTATCTTGATAGCAGATCGGGTCTTCTTCCCACGAACAAACACAGTCCCCAGTCGGACCTCTCCAAAGTAACCACTGCCAAGGACGTGATCACCGACACCTAGATTGCTCCAAAGGATTTCCCACGTACCGGCCCAGGATGGGAGGCCGACATCCTCATAAACAGTAGATGTTTGACCCTCTGGGGTGATCTTGTCTTCATAAACAGTGGTTAAATTCTGTTGAAAGGACAGTATAGCTACGTTGATTATTTGCACAGATGCACACAGTCGAAGATTTCGGTGTTAAGCGGACTGCATATTTTTTTTTACATTTCTTTGACACCTTAAAAGAAAATTGCCCCCAGCAAAAAGAAACATTTATTTTTGGAATAAAAATGGGCTCACCTTTTTTACCGCTTCTAACAACTGCTTCCTTGTACAAAATATATATAATTCAATCCAACGAGTTTTTTCTTTCGCTCTTTCGCAAAGCAAACAAGTACACGCTACCATACACACCTTCTAAAACCTTGGATCTAAAACTTATATATGCCGTAACTCAGGCGCGGTTCTCCGGGGGGGCTGTAGCCCCCCAAAAATTTTGTCTAGCCCCCCCCCCAAAAAAAAAAAATAAATTTCGTAAAAAAAAATTGCATTAGCAAAAAGAAGGATTGTGATGTACATGCGAACGGTCTCCCCCTAAAAATATGGCATGAGCCCGCCCCCCCCCCCCCCCAACCACCTATTGATTTTCGGAGGCCTAAGTGTCTGGAAAAAATAACCGGTCTAAATTATAGCACGTCTCCCTGAAAAAAAATTCTGGATCCACCGTGCTAGCCCCCCCCCCCCAAAAAAAATATTGGTTCTAGAACCGCGCCTGCCGTAACTGTATATGCCCTATGACAATAAATGTAGGCGCGAATTGAACAGACGTACCATTTCAATATCTGACGAGTTGACACCCTCAGCATTCTGTGTTCTCTGTTGAATCTTCGCCCTGATGTGCCGCACAATGAAAACTGTGACCACAAGGAGTAACAGCGTGCTGAGAACGCAAATCACTGCAATAATAGCAGTGTCATTTCCTGTATCGGCATCTGATATGCAAATGAGATAAATTAGAGTGAAGACTTTAGTAAACCGGTCCAGATCGACATAAGTAGTTGAGACCGTTATTATCAGAACATAATTTCAATTTACCTTGAACTATGACAGTAAATCTGCACGTTCCTTCGTTTCCAGATGAATCTCTGGCTGTGCATGTCACTATCATTACCCCCTCTGCGTAAACACCACCTGATACCACCAATGCGTTGCCTTCATCCCTACACACAATAATGTCGATAATTCCGTCAACATTATCGCTACCAGACGGTAGATCTGGTGACCATTCAACTCTAGCACTGCTTACTCCAGCATCAAGAGTTACTTCAGCATTTGATGGGCAAATGAGAATTGGAGACACGTTATCTAGCAACAAAAGTAAAATAACAAACCATTGTCATGAAGTGGTGATCGAGTCGCGACTGGAGACATGAAACCAAAGAATTGATGTACTATGGCTTCACATGTACAGGAAAATTGTTTGGTTTTTTTAATTGCCGTACAAATCTGTTACTTAAATATGTCAAAGTGAATTGGTATATGCCTTCATTTGAGATAGAATCTGCTGCAGCTGTACAAAGCCATGTCACAGACTATATGCCAACTCCGAATGTATCACCTGACAAAGCACGTATCACAACATATTGCCCGACATGCAATGCATGACTAGAGGCACGAACGCCTCATTGGAACGAGCAGAAAGTATAATGAGACCGAAAATACTTTATATTTTTATTTTTACCTGAGTTGATCTATGAGCCACAATGTACACCCAGACCTTAATTAATGGTCTGAATAATGGATTAGAGATTTACCAGCATGCTCGCTAGTAGTCGTTATCCCCGTGGTGGTTGAAAGACAGTCACACCACCACCACGGGGTCATCGGTAACTCCGTGGTGGTTGGTAGACCCGTGGTGGTTGGTAGCCCCGTGGTGGTTGGCGGCTCCGTGGTGGTTGGCGGCTCCGTGGTGGTTGGTAGCTCGCTAGTGGTCGGCATCCCCGTGGTGGTTGAAGGACAGTCACACCACCACCACGGGGTCATCGGTATTAACTCCGTGGTGGTTGGTAGCCCCGTGGTGGTTGGTAGCCCCGTTGTTGGCCGCATGGTTGTTGGTGGCCCTGTGGTGGTTGGTGGTTTTGTGGTTGTCGGTGGCCCCGTGGTTGTTGGTGGCCCTGTGGTGGTTGGCTCCCTGGTGGTTGGTAGCCCCGTTGTTGGCCGCGTGGTTGTTGATGGCCCTGTGGTGGTTGGTGGTTTTGTGGTTGTCGGTGGCCCTGTGGTTGTTGGTGGCCCTGTGGTGGTTGGCTCCCTGGTGGTCGGTAGCCCCGTTGTTGGCCGCGTGGTTGTTGATGGCCCTGTGGTGGTTGGTGGTTTTGTGGTTGTCGGTGGCCCTGTGGTTGTTGGTGGCCCTGTGGTTGTTGGTGGCCCTGTGGTGGTTGGCTCCCTGGTGGTCGGTAGCTCCGTGGCTATTATTTTTTCGACAAAATTTTGACAAAAAAGTAATCATTAGCCTCGACAATTTAAAGTGTTCATCAAATGCATTTGTGAGGCATCAAACAAAGCTACATGTACCACCAAAGGATTCAAAGTGTAAACACAAACGTCAACACATTTATCAGTGAACATGAAATTTATACGCTTACGGTAATTATTGTAAAGGTACCATTATTAAAGGAGACACGTTATCGCAAAGGAGACACGTTATCGCAAGATGGGAGACATCAGTCATTAGGGAGACATGTTCATGTCTCCCTAATGTCACAGCCCCCCCCCCCCCTTTAGAGGCCAAATTTTGCTGTTGCAATTACATTATATTTGTTGCTCGTGGTCTAATTAGTAAACATATCGAAATTCGTGGACAAAGGACAAAGGAATATTGGTTAAGGGAACATTGAAGTTTGAAAAATTGAGGGTAATAGTGCTCATTGCTTTATTTTAATATGATCTGGACCGTATCACGTTATCAGAATCGGAGGCCACTGACCCACGAAATGTAGAAGGCCCCACAAAACAAATCCCAAATTTTCTGAAATGAACCGCAAACATATCTCTAAGCTTTTTTATCGGTCAAAGCTCAAAAGAAAAAATTTAAGTCCGCTGGCATAATCCAACATCATGATTGTGGTACAAAAATTATAATTTCACGGCGCAATAAAATGGTTCATTGCACACTTCAAAATAAAATCCAGTAATAGTAACGGGTCAGCAAATACAAGATGCTTACCGGAATTCGTCTTCATATGGAATTTGGGTTTAAACTTTAAATGCGCCACGCTGTCGGAGTCAAGCAGACTTTCTGCGGGGCGTATAACCACAGTAATATTTGGTAAAACATTGGAGACTCTAATGACTGTGGACACATGAATTCACATTTTGGTCCAGCTAATGTTCTGAAATTGTAGCAACTTCCTGTCCCTGAGGAAGGATGAAATATGATCCTCATTTCGTTGGAGGCCCCCAAATGTTGGAAGCCTTCGGTCTGGGCCCGGGCCCAATATAGGCAAGTGCGTTAATCCACTACTGATTAGAGGGCTTGTGGGCCCATTCCTTAATATTGAAATCATATCGAAAATTTGTCCCAATTTGAATGCAAAAATTCTCATTATCTTACCCGGGTAGTCGAAGTTAAGGGAAAATAGCACTCAGAAATCGTGTGATAACTATGTATGCCAGACCTCAACATCTTTTAAACTGTATGGGCATACCCTTTTCAACAGAATGTATCACAGTGCATCTAATAAAATGAGTGTTTCTAGTGCACTTTTAATCCACCGATCAACGTATCTGTCTCATTGACGCAATTATACTAAGGATTGGAAGGATATTTTGAATAAGAAATGTCTTTACCTGTTGACAGCGTAGGTGCAAAATTCAGAAATCACAAAATAATGATCATCAGTAGCAGCTGTCTTGATTTATTGATTTCGTCAGCCATGATGGTAGCTTTTTTAATGAAAAAAAAGGCAGTTTTACATGCATATCAATGATCGACAAACAGATATTCCTATGTGTAGATTTGTTCACGCACATCCTTTGCACCACAGGAGGAAGTACGTACAGTACAATTTGGTGCCAACTAGTTTTGAGTGACTTGGCCAGGATAAAGGCTTTAATTAACTTGAAAGAATGGTTCTACAAAGCAGCACAATGATATGAATAAGCAGTTGGCCGTGTATTCATTCTTCTAGCGTCAAGCACGAAAATTTTAATAAAAACAACTACGACATTAATATTTATGTAACCTTGATGCCGTTTGTGTACTTGTTCGTCGCGAAATCGAAAGCCGCAGATGCCATTATCTGTTTAGGTGTTTTTTATGTAGAATTGTGCGGTGTAACTCCGAAGCCCGAAGAACCCACAATCGCGTGGGAAACACGAGTTGTTTTATCTGTTGCCTGAAATTTACTTTGTTGATTCCCTACAAATATTTCAATTTGTATAAACGCCATTTTTGTCGATCAATTTAGCGGGGGACTTTTTTGGCCTCAGATTTTCAACACACACTGTGTATTCATTGGCCTGTATTTGCCTCTTCAAGCAGGCACTCCCCTCCCTCACCCTCATGCCCACGAGTGGTGATTCAGGTACCTGAACTCCAAACTACCTGTCATAATAAGTGTTACTTTGTATCGCATCATGATATCATGCCTTGGCCGCAGCCACATTAACACCAACGGGCGTTTTAGTTATGTGCCGTAGACGTAATATATATTTTTTTTAATATCCGAATTTTGCACGTATTCTACGGGTGCACTAACCGCTCCATCCATTGACGTCATTCTGGGATAGTTTTCAACTGCCTGACTCAACCGTTGTTAATGTTTAGACCACCGTTTTAGAATGACGTTCTGTCGTCGGTATACATGACCGACGTTAACAATTAAGACTATACAAATATACACATCACATTGTGGATCTCTGTAAAATCTTCTTGATTTAGCGCCGGAAACGTCACTGCAGAAAACACTGAAGAAATGAATGTTTAATTCTCCTTGCATTTATTTGTTTGTTTTGCTTTGTTTTAGTTTTGGTGGGTTTGGGGATCGTTTTTTGTTTGTTGGCACAATAATTGTATTTAATCGGCTCTATACAAGCCCAAAATGTGCATGGAATGAATTTGTGTAGCATCAAACAAGGCTGTTGTGTCACCAAAAGGATGCAAAGTGTGAACACAAAAATCAACTCAAAACTATTGTAAGTATTCCTTTGCTGTCAGTGAACAAGAAAATAGATACGCTGATAGAAATCATTACTTTTTTACATTAAGAGCAAGGGTGGATCACGTTATTAGGAGGCCATCGGTCAACTGAAGTCCTCACGACACAGATTCCGACATTTCTGAATTGAACTGGAAATCATTTCCCTAAGGTCTCCTTTGTCAAAGCTGAACACAAATATAAGTCATTTTTCCTCCACTGGCATATCAAACATCATAGTGAGACACAGATTATATTTCAAGGCGCAATATTAAAGGAGTTCTCTGCACACTTCAAAATAAAATCTAGAAATTGATTCGAAATGACATTTCTCTTGTTATTTTGTAACTGGTAAGTAAATACAAGACGCTTACCGGGATTTGTCTTCATATGAAATTTTGGTTTAAACTTCAAATGCGCCATGTTAGGAGTCAAGCAGACTTTCTATAGGTTGTATAAGTCAGTGGTATTTGGTTAATCATTGGAAATGATAATAACTGTGGACGCCTGAATGCACATTTTGGCCCTGCTAGTGAATGTTGTACAAGTATTGTAGCAACTTCTGGCCATGGGCGTCGCGGGGGTGAGGGCAAGGGGGCCATATTGCTGCTTATTTTAAGGGGGGTAGGGCAAATGGTCCCCTGCTCACGCTCGGAAAAATGATAAATTGAGAATGTAATGAAAAAGTTCAGAAATGTTTGGGGGAAATTTGGTTTGCCTCCCCCCCCCCCCTTGAAAAAAATCCTGGCGACGCCCATGCTTCTGGCCCTGACGAAGGATCAAAATACACAGATGTAGTCCTATAGAAAATCCCATTATCTGCACCTTGGTAGTCGAAATCAAGGAAAAATAGCATTCACAAATCTTGTTATTGATATGCCAGCCCTCAACATTTTTTTAACTTGGCATATTCAGTTCAACGGAATGTAATAAAATATAAAAAAAAAATGTAAACGAATGTTTGAGTGCAATAATACGAAGGATTGGAAGGGTACGGTCTGCTTCAAAGAAGAATGTATCTTACCTTTTGTCAGCGCCGGTGCTACATTGAGATATGGCGAAATGATGATCATCAGTAACAGATGTCTTGGTTTATTTATTCCGTCCACCATCATGGTAGCTTATTGAAATAAAACGTTTTACAGGTCTCGGGAGCACTTATTGTTTCGGGTGGATTGTTAGCCGAGGAGCGCATGTAAATGATTGACAAAAGATTATTTCTACGTGTAGGCCTGCTTACGCCGTCCTTTCTCACCAAAGGAGGAAGTACAATTGAGGAAATTTGGTGCAAACTATTTTGGAGTGACTTGGCCAGGATAAAGGTTATAAATAACCTAGAGAAATGGCTCTGCAGCAGCACAATGAGATGAATAACCAGTTGGCCACGTATTCATGCTATTGTGTCAAGCACGAAAGGGCTCTGATTTTGTTAAATACAACTTATGACAGTAATATTTATGTAACCTTGATCCAGTTTGTGTACATTGCTCGTTGCGAAAGCGAGAGCCGCAGATACCATTATCTTTATGTTTTTATGTAGAATATTGTGCAGTGGATCATCCCGAAGCCTGAACAACCCACCCTCGCGTGAGAAACCCAAGTTATATTATTTGTTAACCGAAACTGACTATGTTGATTCGGTACCGATATTTCAATTTATATAAGCCATTATCTTTCACTCAATTTAGCGCGGGCCAGAGGAGTTCTCTGTTTTGTCCTCAGATTTTCAACACACACAACCGGCCTCCCTTTGCCTCTTTGAGCAGGCACTCGCACCCCTCACCCTCTCTCCCACTAGTGGTGATTCAGGTACCTGAATTCCAAACTATCTGCCATAACTTGTCGCGCATCGTTATCTTGTGTCTTGGCCACAGCCACATTTATATCAACGTGCGTTTTATGTGCCGAAGACGATATATATATTTTTCATTATCCAAATTTCGCACGTATTCTACGGATGCATACACTAACCACTCCACCCGTTAACGTCATTCTCGTGTAGTTTTCAACTGCCTGACTCTGTCGTCGGTATGATGGGCTCCGTGCACAAGTACCTCTCAACGGCCAAAAAAAAGGAGAATTGGGGGAGATCTAGACTGGTTCCCGGACCATCTACTGCGCATTCCGAATGATCCAAAATTATTGGGGTGGGGATTAGTCTGGGAGACCATCGCAAGCTGAATTCAAACGCATTCGTGCACCGAACAAAACTGACAGATTATTATCTATCAATCTGTCAGTTTATCTATTGGACGTTTCATCACAATTTGATTCAAGCTATCCCCCTAAGAATTGAACAGTTGTTTCCCTAGAATGATAAGCAAAAAATAGATGTGCAAATAATTACATTGCTGAAACAAACAAAAAGGTATCTCAACGCTATCAACATTAAGATAACACTCACCTCTTATTTTCAGACAACAATCAACAAACCAGTACGCATCTCAACACCCTTGTTTGTAAAATAAAACACACCTGTTTCCTGTGCTTGATTAGGTTTTCATTTTCTCACGCATTCAGAGAAAAGGGCATATAAAGAACGATTTTTTCGGAAGTTTTTTTCAGTCTGCGAGGGATCAACAATGAAGGCGGTAAGCATCGTTATTCTCTGCCTCTGTGGCATCTTCGGTCTATGTAAGTATCTTACATTTAACCCTTAATTCAGTTGCATTAGGTAACTAAAATCATTTGTACCGCTGTAATGTTCTATCTGCATTCATGCAAGTATTTATACAGCGCTGCAGCTTTTTGCAGCCTTTACAACATTCTGAGGACGATTAGCCTTTGCCAGCTTATATTATATGCAACTGAATTGGTTCGGTGTTGAAATTTATATACTCCCTTGAAATCGTGAATCTTTTTTACGAGTTGGCTTGTTTGTTGCCTTGCTCAAATACTGGTGATACGGGTTGGGAGTTTAACTTACTGGTTTGCTAATATACTTGCCAATTTATTGGGTAAAGGGTTGCATTCGTTAACAGCACATCAATGTTCTCACATAAGTCACTGCATTCTGTATTCAATGAAGTGGATTCATATTGCATTTATAAACGCTGTATTGTAGTAGAATTAGATAATGAAAAAAGAATAGCCAGTCTGGTAAGTGAATACATGTATATATGCATGTTATTAGGAATGATATATACTATTGGGGGATGTCCATTCATTTTATCGTAATGTACTTAATCCTTTATGATAACTGTGTTGATTTACATCAGGTTCTTCCGGTCCGTGTGAAACTCAGCAGCCCTGCATAAACGGAGCAACCTGCTTCGACTCTGCCGCCGATTCCTACTTCTTTTACTGCCTTTGTCCCTACACCTACTACGGACTAAAATGCCAACATCGTAAATATTACACATCACAAAATTCATTTTTTTAAGTGTAATTCCGAGCTCTGAGACAGGCTGTCAATTAAGGTAGATTTCGATTCGTTTGTTACGATGTTGTTGGATTTCTATCCAGGTCCTCTATTTGATTCCGTCTATTAATAATGATGTTGGTTATGTTGCAGGTAATAGTGCTTGTGATGACAATCCTTGTATGTTTGGAGGAACGTGCCTTGTCATCAATGAGAGATACGAATGCAGGTGTCCATCCGGAATCTATGGAGATCACTGTCAAGCAAGTAAGTACAAGTTCTCAATTATAGGCGCAGTTTACCAATTAGCATTCACAAATTTCAAATTATGACTGGAATAATCCAAGCGGGTTCGAAATCAAAGAGCTAAAGGCCGATAAAGAAGATTGTATTGGGTACGTACTTTCTGAATATAGTATCTCCAGTGCTTTGTATTGAAGTCGTACACAGCTCTGCTTTGGCTGAATGAGCCTTGGCGTTTATAGTACTGCACACATGTGAAAATATTTGGTGAAATTGTTTGTTTGATGATAGAAGCGTGAAACTTGGCTAAAAGGACTGTCTCAAATTTGCCCTGTGACGAATTCGATTTTGCTTTAAGAAATATGTATTTCTTTTTGCCCATGTTTTCATTGCCCGAACGTATCAAGTAACCACTTCAGGCTAAACTTCATGGCGACTTGACAAAACGACAATGCATTTTGTGAATCCAATATTGTACGAAAAGCCGCTTATTTTTTTTTTATATTGAACATTTCTTTGTTGGGGGATACTTTTTGGCATCAGTAGTAATTTGGTTCGCGGTTGCACTCATGAAACAACAGTATGCACCTCTTTCAGCTTCAAAATCTGACAAAGCATGACGACGATTGTATAGACCGACAAGGTAAAGAGAAAACATTTCGCTTGTGCTTACCCTCTACTGTTGATGGCTGATACCTTTCAACTGGGATGAAAACGCAAAGTTACTGTGTTTATCATGATCCGGGTGCACATGATAAGTCCGATAAATTAAAACCAAGGGTTCAATTAAGGGTGTAAATGAAGGACGCAAATTTAGTCAGTCATCCCCTTGGACTTTGCTTTCAACAAAACAAAGCTGTTTATGGTGTACCCCAGACGACATGACCAAACAACGAAGTAATTGGAGGAAATGAGAATAAAGTTAATTATTTACAACAGCGCAGTGTCAAAATGCATTGCGATGACCGATTGTGGTTGGACATCTAATAGCTCGGCAAATAACTTTGAACTTAATTCCTTTCCACACAGATGGATGCGCCAGTGATCCGTGTATGAATGGTGGAACCTGCTACCCGTTTGGCTACTCTTATGCCTGCGTCTGTCCTCGTGGATATGGCGGAGAAAACTGTGAAGAATAAACAGGTCAAACATGAACATCTTTTTGTGAGAATAAAACTCGTAACATCACATTTTGCTGAAGCAACTGAAACGCAATTTTATATTACGGCAAAGGTAATACATCAACGGTTAATAACGATATCATTAATTTCTTCGATTTGACTTTTCCTATATAAAAATTTGATTTATTTTTTGTTTGTTTAACTTGGTGTAGCACGTACTCGCCCTGCTTAAGCCTCATCTAGCCTGAGTGAGGAAGGACAGAAAATCCTTACGGAAAAAAATCCACTCGAAATAGCATGCCATTATGTAGAATTCCATGGATCTGAAGTATCATTTTTAATTGATGAGGGAGTTATTGAGAAACTTGACCGGAAGTAAAAGTTAAACAAGTAAACTTTTAAAATTATGTCATTTTCTTAATCTGTCAATTTCTGTCGGTCCATGACACTGCTGGCTCGAATTTTCACACGAACGTTATAAATAAGTCCGAGTTAAATTTTTGTCGTTTTCAGTCATTGCTCTATAAATTTGGTACGCTATATATTTATGACCTGGAATCCTTAGGGGGGAAGCGCTATATAACACGGAATCCTTTTTAAAAACGATGCTATTCACAGAAATTTGTTGAACCAAAATAATTTGCACTAATAATTTCTTAGCAAAAGCCTAACAGAAACTGTATGTAAAGTAATGCACTTAACTCATTTTCTGATAACTCTTTCCTGAAATAGAATTATTGTTGATAATTATTGATCATTGTAAGTAATTTGGTCACTTGGAAAGTTTTCTTAATCGATGTGGCGGACCCAGAGGGCTGAAGCCCCGTCCTTGCTTCAACCCCCTCCCGCGGTGACGAACAGCGCCTCATCTAGTGTCAGATGGCGTCCATTTCCTTCGCATTGAACTCAGTTGTGCTCCGGCGTTCTATGGTGTAACTGCCAGCCGGCGTTATATGACCAGGAAAACTGTTCTGTCTCGTAAGCGTAATAAACGTTCATAAGATGGAATTTGCGTCGACGCATATTCCATCTTATGAATAGTAAAATGTGGTACCCGCTGTTATGTACATCAGATTCGAACCAGCCAACCGATCCAGCAAGCTCGGTGGTCGAGTGATGAGACGCCTGCACTGGAACTTCGGGAGGTCATGGGTTCCAGTCCCACTCGAGTGATTCAAGTTATTCCAACTTTCACCTTGGAGGTAAACACACTGAGTATACAGTGTTTATATGTCTGTGAAGGACAAAACCTAATATTACCTAAATAAACGTAGCTTGGAGAACTGTTTCCCCACTCGGCGTTTCCAGTGAGGGACAAGAGAAATGCACCGTAAGATCTCCTACTTGCGTGACAGACTATATTTAGCAAACCCAAACCTCACGTTTTCCATGATTTGTCTTAGAATCCGCTGAAAATTGCAAAACCTTTGCAGTTCACACATCAGCAACACACCAGTAGGCCTACAAATCCTGCCTTTTGCTTCCAGGAGTGTTATTGGTTGGTTTGGTGCGACAACTGAGGGTTGGTCCATACAATAATTAGGGGTGGCTCTAGTTTTTAGGTACAAGGGGGTAGGGGAGTTGATATGAAGGGACAACTGAGTGAAAGGGTGCCAAAGGCAAGCCCCGTGAGGGGGGGGGGTGCTGGGGAATGCCCCGGCAAATTTGGAAACGTGATGCTTTCTCCTGATTTCACGTCTTCTCTTTTTTTGGTTTGATCAAGCGGATAGGATATCATATTCGCCATTTCTGTGTTAAGCTTTTCCATGGAGGATGATCCATCTCCTCCATACCCCCTCCCAACCCCCTTCCTGGATTGAAGCCGTTGTTGGGAGTCCTGCCATCCATTACGTACGCTGCTTTCAGTGTTTGCCAGCCATCAACAGATTGGTCCTAAACAGCGTCGTATATAGTCAGGGTTCTTGTCCTAGGGAAGCTGTGAGGGCTGGACCGGAGGGGGGGAGGGGCGCTGGACACCATCTTCACATGGGGGCGCTGTTCAAAACGTATATCATGGCTACATTAGACAATGACTACCGCTATTCACTTTCCAAGGGACGTTACAATTAACGGCCACTCGCGAAAAAAATAATTGGTATAAAATACGCATAACATCGCGGAAAGGGGGACTTTATGTTCTTCCAGCTAATTATGGTAACTCATATGTCTGTACTTTTCTCCGCATGCCAAATTTTCAGTGGGGGTGGGGGGGACTGGGGGCGCGCGAACTTTTAATGAGGCGCATGCGCCCCCCCCCGCCACGCCCCCATCCCCCGGAGTTACGCCGCTGGTCCTAACCATACTCGACCCAAGTTACATGTGCCCAAGTGTAATCTTGGACCTTTGCATGTCCAAATAGAGGCACTTTTCATCCCAATTGTCTGCACAAAGATTAAAGTTGCTCAGATCAACAACGAACTACTCCTTGATGCTACAGCCTTTACTTAGGCCTACTAGTCTTTCTCCAAGATCTTCGTGTGTTTTTCTTCTTTTCAATCGATCCTCCCAGAAATGAAGAAGAAAACGTCGTTAACCAAACTATCCCTTACTTTACACGACCTTTAGTGTTACCCACATCAATGCTTGTCCTAAATCTTTATATACCATTTCAAGTAAATTAAAAAAGTATAACACACGCCAAACGTGGAGCGATTATCTTTGCAAACTTTATTTAATTCCCTTCACCACAAAATGAAATCAAACTGCAAAAATTACGAGTTATTGCCCATGGTTAAAAAGAAGGTAAATTTCGGTATAAATAATTCAGTGACCTACACAAAATTTTGAAGCAGTAACCTTATTTGGCTATGGATCGATCTATTGCTCGAGAACATTGGCTTTGCAGACCTGATTATTTCTCTAGAAACACAACATGAAATGCATGCTTTCTGTGATGCTTCCAATCATTTCATCAGTTATTCATGCTGTTGTCCGACCCGAGTAGGAGCCTTACTAACGGGCTGAATAAATTCGTGTTCTTCCTTATATTTCTAAGTTATTCTTGCGACTAAACTGATATAGTTACTGCATTTATATTTATCTTTTGCAACTTGTCCATGCATCTGATCTAGAAGCAAATGCCTTCCATTGCTTTCCTCTGAATTAAGCGTCATCGTAGCAGGTTGCGGCCCTGAAATTGAAAACAATAGCATCTTGTCAAAATCAAGTGAATTCAAATTGGCAAGTAAATATACGTACACTATTCTATATAGGGTGATTCAAAAAGAAAGTGACCCGGATTATTATTTTTCCTTAAAAGCAATTAAATTTGATACACAAATGAAGTATGTCTTGAATAAAAGAGTAAATTCCTCTGAGGGGAAAAAAAGAATTACTGAAATTGATCCATGATGTCAGAAGTTATGCATCTTTTAAAAAGAACCTTTTTTTATAGCTGTCCATGGAATTCCGTAGGAAGCTATTGAGCAAAGTGAGAATTACACACAGGCATTCAAATACCACAAAGAGAGTTGAATCATTTCAATCAAGACTGAAGCATTATTTTTGCTGTCAGATTTTTGTGTTTTCAATATAAGGAACAATTAAAGTCAACTCTTTTTTTTTCTTAAACAATTTTGGATGTTTTCCCTTTTCCTTTGCAAGTTCTCGTTCATCCATGGAGGTTGGAAAACGTCCATGTTTCATTGTATTTAATGGGTATTCATCAGTTCGTAGAACGGTAAATGATCGGTGGTGGGCAGCTGAATTTGTGATCTTTTTATTAAAATATACATAAATTAGGAATGGAATATGGAAATTACGTGAAATGTTCACAGATACTAGGCAATATTATGAACATTATGCTAGTATGTTTTTAATAAAGCGAGCCACTTATTTTCAACTATATTCTTCGAATTCTGTCACTTCTTTTTGACTCACCCTGTACAGCCATATTATTGAACGTTTCAGAAGAGTTGTAATTTTGTTGTCAACTTTTCAGCAAACACCGATTTGCATATCAAATCATTTCTATAAAAGCTAATCATGTTTTGATTTTAACACCAACACCGGTACACGTACTTGGTACTGCTATGCAAGAAAAGTCAGACTATTAATTGTCTGAGCTAAAAACGTGTCAGCAGAAGTATGATTGTTGTAGCGTTTACAGCAAACGCCAATTTTCAAATCCAATTGTTGCATTAAGTTTTTCATTTTAACAGCAACGACGGTTTATGAACAGTGGATTTCTCAGTAAGAACATTCAGACTATTCTCTGAGCTCCGTAACAAGAAAAGTGAGCCTGTTTTTGGTCAATAAAGTTGTTTATGCTCATCGTTGAGGGCTTATTAGCAATTTCTATGAAATGTTATTTTTTTGGACGGTGCACGATAGAGGGTAAGTATACGTACCCGATGTGTGAGGTATAGTAGCTCCTACTGCAAGTTGACCAGACTGGATCGCTTTTGGCTGAATTGGCATTCGCTGCCATGATATAGCCGCTGGTAGGGCAGGAATTACCTACGCCGTCGTGCCTCATGCTTAGACTTCGAGAATAATATTATATTTAAAATCAAATCAATATTTTACCAATTAACATTATATTATGTTTTACTAGGCTATATGATTTTTATTCTATTTGTTAGTGAGTATTTTAAATCCGTTCAGAGGTACTTATAAAATTTTAGGGATGAATTATTTTATGTTATGATAATAAAAACAAGATAGAATAAGAATAGAACAAGTCTAGTTTACGAAAGAGACGATTATAGATAAAGAAAATGGTGGAACATTAAACTCGCACGACTTCCCCATTCTACACGATCAGTCAGTGAAATGTTTCATCCCAAAATTCGTGTATATATTTTTGAGAATAGGGTTAGAGTTTATTTTCAAAATGGTAGGACATAATGGTTTGTTTATACTTACTTGTGTCCGATTTCATGAGCGAGGGTGTCGGTAGTTCTCAGATCCCGGAACGTGGACAAGGACGTTGCATCTCTTTCATCGCACAAAATTTGGGTGTTGCTCCTCCACGCAACGCCAAGCGTGTCCCCAGAATCCATCACCCAGCTACAAAATAACCAAAGGGATTCTCGTTGTTGGTTGGAGAACATTATTGTTTCGCAGAAAAAAATGTTACTTTAGGCCAAAACAAAAATAGTTGGTCTCTGGTCAGACCAAAGTTCCAGAATTGATGCGGCGACGCGTTTTTGTTTTTTGTTTTTTTCGGCTTTTTTTTAAAGCATGGATTGTACATACAAGGTGGGTACTATTTTTGGGTTTTTTGTGTCCCCATATACATTGGTGTCCTCCATAATTTGCCTTGGTGCCCTCCATCATTTGCCTTGGTGCAGTTTCCCCATTCCTTGGTACACAAATTTGAGAAGTTGCGGAAATAGAGGGCGCTATTGTAGCTACCGCGGACAGTTTGAAGAAACAAAAAGGTTGACGCGTATGATTAAAATCGACGCGCGCGCTGACCAGAGACAGACTTCTTTTTTTTTTTGGCCTTATGGGTGAATATTTACCACTTTGTCCACATTATCTGTCAAAGTGTTATGCTCCTTACGTCGTAGTTTTAAAGTCTGATAAGAATATACAATAAAACTGTGGGAGACACATATTCATCAAATTATAAAAGTGATAATGTAGTCGACAGTAACTTTAATACCCGGTCAAAATTGCTGCATTGTCCCAACGACGACTGTCGGATGCGCCAAAGTTATTGGCGGCCTGCCAATCACTTGCTTTATTCAGAGACTGCTCAGAATCTGGACAGGTATTCAGACCACTCTGTTCAAATCAATCGATTGGAAGAAAATGTGAAATTATGCTGTCAATACTGGCTTCTGATTTCCATACACCAAAATACAATTCTAAGTTTTAATGTGCAACAAGTTCTTCAATTAAGCGAAGTGAAGGAGACGTTTTGGAAGCATAAGGTCTGTACAAAACGTAGGCATCACACGCTTTCTATAATTTTGCAGTTAACAATCAAACACTGATGCATGGTTTTATGTCTTAATTAAAGGATGATTTGAAGATCCATGTAGAACAACGAAATGATAAATATCGTCACCACTATCATACTCTTTCCCGTTTCAGGATTGGTATCATTTTAAATTACCTGGGATGATGTCATGACCTTGATATGTGTCACTTTAGGAACCAGAGAAGCGCCGGAAAGTGAGCCCAGCTGTAGGACATTTTTCGCCTGTTTGGGAAATAGTATTATGAAATAAAACCAGCATTAATACAACTATGAACAACATGTTAAGGGTAAATTCCATCAGCTACAATCTTTACGACGTAAAAGTTATTTGTAGTAATGAGTCTTCCTATTTCAGCAGATTAACTTGCTGTTAACTGCTTTTACGTTTTTAATTGCAGGCATCAGAAATCAAATAAGGAAAACACTGACCGCATTGAAAAGCGCTGTAATGCAAGTATGCGTGTTACCGCCACGCAAATCGTACAACACGGGGTCCCCGATGAGACCAAGCTCAAGATACTTGGTCGCCTGTGGGTCAAAATCGCCTGCCTGATCATCCACCTCTTGTCCTGACTCGTTAATCACATCAAAGTGCGTCAAATCGTCTGTTGAATTTGGAAGGAAACTTGAAATTGTAAATCTCATGGTATAATCCTTATCTGATATAGGTAAAAAAAAACACACCAGTTTCCCTTCAATCGTTTCCATCAATGACATAAAATTTGAACTGCGTGTTTGAATCAGATATTTAAAAAATCTTTAATCTGGATTATGTATTAACAAACCGCTCGCCAAAAATATATTACATTTCTGAACTAGATTCAAAAGGGTCCGCTAAATGTTAATCATTAGGAAAGTAACAATTGGTTAACCGAAGTTCACAATTTCGTTCTCGATCTGTGAATGTTTACCAATGAATGAATGAATGTTTACCTTTAACTCCACAGCGTCCCCTATCCTGGTTAGGCTTGACTCTATAGGCAAAGTGAGGAAGACCACGCCCAATATCTCTCTTGAGCGCATGTTCGTCATCCAGAGGCTCAATGTATGTCGGTCCAGAGGCATGATTCACAACGGCCATCTGTCCGTAAAAGACATAGGGTGTCTATGTTCAAATTTGCCCACTTATCTCCATCCAAACTATTGTTTGCACTGTATTAAACCCAGGGGCGTAAGTCCAGGGGAATTTGGGGTAAATATCCCCCAATTTTTGAGCAGGGGGATGGGCTATTTTTCGTGATGAGAAAAAATGTGGATTTCAAGGTATTTTTCGAACATCCCAACAACCAAAATTCATTCGATAGCACTGAAAAGTGGAGAAACAAAGTACAAAAGCTTTTAAAATGCGCCGCTTTGATGTAAGCGCGTGTGTACATATTGATATACAGCCATTTAGAGCGCCCCTAGTGTAATGTGGTGTCCAGCCCCGCCCTCCCCCCCTCGAATTTCCATGGCCGGACAATTTTTTGGATTTTGGTCATCCCCCATCCCCCTCCCCCCCACCCCACTCACCGGCACAGATTTACGCCACTGATTAAACCATTGCAAGAACTGCTGAACTGAACTGATTTTTGGGGGTACCTAAAGCGGTCTCTATATGACGTCACAAATTTCTAAGTGTTTTAGAATAGACATGAACAAATTTGATAAGGACCAGCTAAATAAGTACATGTTTTGTCGTTTATGGGTATAGAGTAAAGCGCACTACTTCGACTCAACCTCTTGTGTTTGAACAGACAAATAGAATGAAAAGGCCCTTGCGTTGCATGTACATTAGAGGGTGTTCTTTGTGATTTTAATTTAGAGACAATGAATGCACAAATCGTGCAATCCTGGCGATACAAAACCATTGCCCTTTAATTCCGCCTTAAACATAAATTCCGTGTAGCAAATATAATGACAAAGGACAAGGACAAATAAAATATATTAAAAACGCACCAAACCTGCACATGCAGAGACGGATACCAACGAGTTGGAGTCCCCGATGACTTGACCAGTGTACAGACAGTCTGTCCGTACAGGCACCGTGATGGTTCCCTCGTCACTGACATATTCAGCCTCAAGCCCAGGCATGAAGCCGCTGTCGTCGTGCTCCAATGCCATACGCAGTGTCTCACCGAACGTGTCGACATGGACTTCAAGGTAGGAGGTTGCAACGGCACTGCGACCAACATGGCGTTTGTGCTCCATGGTCACGTACTCCGGATAAATGATTTCATATTCAGGGGCTGGGGAAAAAAAGAGGTTTTGAAATGGTGGTGTTGTTAATTACTTTTCATTTAGTTTCTTTCAGCCATTCCTTATTTCGAACCCAATAAAAGCCAATTTATAGTTTTTGCAATGTGCATCACATGCAGCGGAGTCGAGAACAGTGTTGATTTAGACGCACTCAAAATGGTGCTGTCTTTGGAAACTTGTCTAGTTGTTACTGAAAGATACACATTTGTACAGAGATTGCCAATATACATTGTTTTGTAACACTTCACGGGTCTGGTTAACAGGAAATTCCCATGATGTCTTACAGTTAGGAAGAAAACCCCCAAATAATAGGCCCTTCAGTAGAAAACCCCGAAATAAAAGGCCCTTCAGTTCAAGCATATCAAACAGTCAGTTATTAGTGCATGGGATGTCGATGAAACGTGCCTAATCGTATGTACAGATTTTGGTTTGAAAACACCTCGTACAAAAGAATGTGCCGAATGTGCTTGGGGCACAAAGCAAATGCTTAACACACACCAGCCCAACATACCTAACAGAAATTTTACAGTGATATGAGACGAATTCGATCTCTGTCATTCGGCATTAGCTTAGACGAATTCGATCTCCTGACAAATATTCTTGACTTAGTACTTAAATGTGTCGACCAAACTGTGAAACTGAATGATAAATAACTAAATTGATTTTGCTAAAAGCATGTGAAGTCGGTATGTGAATTAGAATGGAAAAAGTTGTATAATAGCCGTGGAAACCTAAAGTTAATGCCTGCTAACATTATATGTACCTTTCTCTTCGCTATCGACAGCAAAGTATCGCTGTAGCTCCTCTTCTGAAAACTTCAGGTTTACCTGCGTAACAGTGGAAAAAAATTAAATCAGAAAATACATTTCGATTGATTTCAGTTAGTCTTATTTGCCAAATATTATTTTGTAGAAGACAGATTACCCCAGGATTTGCCAACACCGAAGCGAGCAGAAGCATCAGACACATGGAGATAGGCAACATCGTGTTTCCTCGTCGATGGGGATTCAGCAAACTGAAAATTAAACCGGCCGACGAAAGACCAATTGATGTGAGTTTTTTGATCAGACATTGGCTTTTTTATAGGCAAACGCGGGGTTGCTCATTCTGCGACAACTTGCTGGAGGATATCGACCTTGATTGAAGTTCAATTTTGCTTCGTCTGCATTTACCAGCAACAAAGTCTTTTCATTAATTGCTCAATTATTATCAGACCCTTTTAAGATAGGATTACAGTGATACTTTGTCTCGCCTTACACGTCAGCGCCCCCAGAATAGAGTTCATGTACATGTTTTCTTTTTAATTAGGGTACTACATTTTTAAATTACCAGCAAAAATAATTTTCCAATATTTGTTAAAGTTATCAAAAGTAAATGTCATGATACATGCTTCTATTTAATAACTTTCCATATCCCTTTACAACAATTAAGGTTGCTTTTCACCTTCACCAACTTGAAATCGTAATTGATTTCGGATTCATTTGCAACGAGCAAGGTTGCCTTGTACTCTCAGCCAACTTGAAATCGTAATTGATTTCGGATTCCTTTGCAACGAGTAAGGTTGCCTTGTACTCTCAGCCAACTTGAAATCGTAATTGATTCAGCGGTTCGAATTGTTTGAAAGGCCATTTTTGTTTAATGCAATCACTGATGTCAATTTTGTCTTTCTGTTCAATTTCGCGCCGTAGTACCAGTAACCAGGCCGGCTCTTTTTTTTTTTTTTTACTAGTGGTTTTTCACCATAGGTTGCAACTATATGGAGAGGAAATCCCTCATTTAATTTTGCACAAACGAACCATTTTTGTATCCGCTCAGTAGCATGATCCAAAAGCGCAATTATCTCCAATGCCATGGATCTGCAGACGTTGTTGTGATGTCACTTTCAGAGCCTTTTGGTAATTTTAGGCACTGACTCACAATGCACGGGGCATGGGCCAGACTAACCGTCAATATTGAATAGCGCCCTCGCAACTTCTAGAATGGTGCGCCTATTTCTTGGACCAAGACATTAGTGGTAACGCATTGTGTAATGAACACAGGACTTGTGTCCTGGATCATGGACGAAGGTTCCTTCCGCCATGCCTGGATAAAATCCTTTTTAAGCTCTGGCAGGAGCTTCTACATGTCACTTGGTGGTCGGTCGGTTGGCCAGTCCGTCTGTCTGTCTGTCTCCGGAAAATTAACCAAAGTATGGTGCTCCATATGTGCCATGGGCGTCGCATTTTTCGGCGTTGCATTTTAAAGACTTCTTGCAACGCGGCTAGAGCTTATTGAGCACTAGCTTTTTTTTTTCTATCCTCATAGGGAGTACCAATTGCCACTATACCTATTTTCTACCAATTTAAGGGTTCCTGATAACTATTTTCTATTTTCCTAAGGGGTGTCATGATGCCTATTTTTCATTCTCACACCCGGGTTATTCTCAACAGAAGATTTCATTGTTAGCCACTATGAGAGAATTAGAGGGCGCTGCAGAACTTTGCACCTATCGCTCTTGATTACTGACGTCTTGGACCAAGACTATGTCGTAGCCAGCGGGGGTATTACAGGGGGCTGTTTACATCACCGGGCTCCTCAACATTTTGTAAAGAGTGCCCTTTTGCATGGACGTCGCGGGGGGGGGGGGGGGCAAGGGGGGCATTTGCCCCCCCCCCCCCCCCCCCCCGGAAAAGCAAAAAAAGAGAGAGAAAAAAGGAAAGAAAAAGAGTCATAGTGGTGTAAATTTAATGGGTTGGGGGCAAAATGTCCCTGCCCCCCTCTGAAACTGATAAAGCGAGATTGTGTTGAGAAATACAGGCATTTTTTGGCAAATGTTTTGCCCCCTCTAGAAAAGTCCTAGCGACGCCCATGCATATGAAATGAATTCCGCTAAAACAAAGGTTGGGAATTCAAGCTCAGACCCGCCAGAAATAACGTCATGCCAATGGCTAAGAGACATTCCATATCTCTGCGTTTTGCCCAAACTTTTCCAAATCACGGTTTTTACGCGCACGACTGGCGGTCTCGCTCAAGTGGTAAAAAAAGCGCCCTCTCTTGTTTGCAGACAGCGTCACGCTATAGCTCATCAGCAAAAAACGGATGTAAATCTGTTTTGCTGATGAGCTAAAAACAAATATTACATGCACACTGCAACTTACAACTGAAATTGAAAATATTATCAAAGTTGTTTCAATCAATAGTACTTTAATCTACATTCCATCACGTGAACTGGCATTTAAAAACGACTATGTTTTACATATACAACTGATGTCTGATGGCGAAAATGTTTAACTTATAATATTTGTCATGTAAAGCATAATTTGAACCAAACAAATGTTATTCGATCCAATTATTAATTACAGAAACCGGCAGCTTGATGTCGAAGCTGATAATTTCCATCAGCATGTGCCATCGGGAATGTAACGTTAACGCTTTCTCCCGTCCTATTTATAGTTTAACCCAAACATTACAGTAGATTTGGTTTTCATTGTTATTTTTTTCTAGCCTTTACACAAAAGTTATTCACTGAGGTATCGAATCAAAATCGGGCAAACGTTTGTAATTAATATAACTTTACTGTACACATTTGGAATTTGTTGCGGCCCAGGATTAATTCAGGCATATCTTTTGTTCATTGTTGATGCAAAAGCAACACCAAATAAAAGCGTATTTTCAAGGAGAAAACGTCCGAAATAGAACACAAATAGCTTAAGTGTCAATGTAGTGAATTTTTCGGTGAAACATATTTGTCCTACTCCTCTTAGGGATCTATGAAAAATATTTGACATCCCTTTTGGTTAATGCTATTGAAAAGTGCACTTCTTTAAACATTTGTGTGTTTTTTTTAATTCTATGCTTTTCCCGACAACTGTTGCTGTGATGTCGTTTCAGGTGGACACTGTAAAGTTACGGGATATTCTGTTCAAACTGTGAACATTGCTTATTGAAAATATTTGTGAGAAAAGTTTGCTCATTGGCTTACTGCCATGTACAGATACAACAACCTATCACCAACGAAAAGAAAAGTTACGACAGCGAAATATCCAAAATTCTGGCAACTGTTGGTGCTGAAATAGCATTGAGGTTTCTGCCTAAAATAACATCACACTTTTGTTCATGAACATGAATTCGCATTAGCATAAAAACCACGACGGCACCAAAATACCCTTGAAAATAGCAAAACGAAAATTGAAAATAGGGTTAAATGGAACACAAAGGTGTATTAAAAAAATAACATTGCATGGGATCTTAATCATTGAGGGGAGAACATGTTGAATGATAATGTTGAAGAGCACCGTCACGCGTTGGGTATGGTAGAGCAACTTTAACAATCATACAAGTAGTACGCTCGAAGTCGTTTTTTTTTATGGCATGTAAGGACGAATTATGTAAACTAGCGTGTTACGTTGTCAGCAAAAAAACATTAAAGGTCTCCTTTATGATGAGTATCTATAGTTACCAGTTTCTGCAAAGTATATTCTTTTACCTCGTAAACCATGTACGACATAAACAAAAATTCGATAAAAAAATTACACACACAATCTCTTTATCGGAATTATGTTTACTTAAAACACTACAGAATTAACGGCGTTATACGAGACATGTCTTTATTTAATACTGGTAAATAGTACTAAAGTTCTTTACTAATGAACATCATGAAACGCCGGCAAAACTCTTTTTAAAAAAATACAAAATATCCAAGGCCGTAACCCCCGTCACCGTTCAAGTCGTTTGCTGTTGAATGATAAAACTCAATTCTCATTGTTCCAGGTGGTTGAGATACTGCAACACTGCATTTTGATCGCTGACTGAACTGCCAATAAAAAGAAAAGAACATGAAATATAAAACTTGTTATAGTGGGGCAGATAGGGGAAATATTTGGGGGGAACTGTGCCTTTGATGATACAAGCATGGCATTTGGCACACAGTCAGAGTATGCCTTAAGAAAGATATTTGGCTATAGGCCCATCGCAGATTTGTCCTTTGAAAAAATTAATATGCAGAATAACAAGCAATTTTCAAAATGTTCTAAATGGCTGCCATTGCTTAATTGTTAACTATTCTACCTAAAAATTTTCGAAGGACAAATCTACGGATGGCCCAAATATCTTTCTTAAGACAAAACTCCATATTTTAGATGTAGTTGCATTTTGTGGGTCAGTTACGTACGTACTACAGGCCTACATCTATTTTTTTTTTAAATAATGCTGCATCGATGCAAGGAAATATTGACGAATTCCGGCGTTTTCAAACGAAGGATTGATACATGATAAACACCGAGTAAATCAATCAACGACTTTTTTTTCATATCTTAAAGATCTAAATTCCAAGCTTTGTATTTGTATTGCTAATCTTTCACAAAGAATGGCAATTGCTGAGAGAAAAAAAACACCACCGATAGCACTCACTTTTACATTGTGTAGACCATTAAAGGATGCCATCAGGGCGTCCATCAAGTGTTAGCGCTGTCAGCAGCAACAACATTTCTTTTTCTAAGATAAAACCAAATTACAAATTAATATTATGATACAAAAAGCAGTATACAGATTGACATAAATTAGTCATTTATGTATAGGAGATAAATGCAAAGGTAAGATGTCTGCCGGTCATGTACTGAGCCTACAGGCCTATTTTATGATTCGTTTTGAAAAGCGCGGATATAGTGAGTGTTACAAATTGAATTTACACGAGAAGGGGAGCTGTTTGTCAGCTTGGGCTGCTCCTGTCTCGGTTCAATTAACTTCTCAACAGAGAACGAAAACGGTAAATATTTACATCATAACAAGTCAACCAGTGCACTAAGTCAGTGCACTTTCATCATCACGAAATATGGCTTTTGTTCACGGCGAAACAATGCCACCCACACTACCTGCATCCAGTGCCGTTTCTCTATGACTGCATGCATTTCCGTTGTGGTGGATTGCCGCTTGCGATTATGATAATGATGCGTTATGGCTACATGACCTTGAAACAGCAATGCGGGTATACTTGCATGGGATAAAACCCATAGGGAATGTATTATTTCCATCTTCAATATTTAAAATTTACGATGAATTAGAGGGTAAAAATAGGACATCTTAAAGCCCGGATAATAATTACATGGAATATATGGAAAATACACTGATAATTATCACGAATTCCACGGTTTTAGATTTGCAGTTTAACTTGGCATCTGATCACACGCTGTGCATATGCAGACGTTGCATATTATGTAAATCCGGAGAATGTTGTTTGTTTTTTCACTGGCTGGTATGCAAACGGCACATGATTTATGTGGGTCGGGCGTTGCGGGAGCTATATAGGATTACGTACACGTACTGCGCTGCGTACGGCAACGCAAAACTGTGTGGCCTGCATGATAAATATAATCTCCATTTAATCTCCAGGGATATTTTACAAAGAACAACGTACCATGTAACATTATCAATAAACTAAAATCAAGACTGGAATGATAAAAATACAGAGGATGTGTGTAGGCATTGTCGAAGCATGGATCGAGCTACAAAAAAGGAGTTCCAATTAATATGGTCGATGATAGCACCAAAAAAAGCTAAAAGCAGCTTTAATTATGTTTCCATTGTGGTCCCATTCATTGTGGTCCTCTTGTGGTTCATGATATCATTGGGGAAAAAAATAATGCAACTTTAGGGAATTAAGAAAAGTGATTGGGCTGGCTTACACAATAACGATAGTGATAACTTTTATGACGTTTATATTTAATTTAATAAATTCGTAGCATAATTCTCACCTGGCCTGGTAGGCGTGGCTTCATGCACGGACAACAGCAAGCAAAACAACGGAGGAAACACAGCTTGCATTTGCTCGGTTTTTTCACCTTCGGTAAGGACACGTCAGGCATGTTGATCTTTCTTGTGTGTGGAGTAGTTTATCAGTGAACTTGACTCGGTGCAGGGTATGAGCACGTGTTGCTTATTGTCTTTGCCAAGGAGTTCAATCAAGAACTGTAGTTGAGTACGTTCAAGATCACGACTTAGCTATGCAGGTGCAATGATGTACATGTACATGCAGTCGCATCAAACTATTCGCACCACGTCCTATACGTACTGGTACTGTGCGGGTTATGATGAGGGAAACGTTATTGACATGATCGGATTTAGCGATGACTGATATGTAGCCTGTATAAATGGGAAGGTTAACCTTCGGCGGATGCCGTGGGTGGTTCTACTCTGATGATCATAAACTCTGTGTAATTTTTGCGGCATTTCCATTGCACGTGGGTCCTTTTGTCCTGCTCAGTTTATTTTTTTCTCCGGAAGTTAACTATTGAAGGAATGTATAACTAAAAAATAAATAACTTTTAGAAAAATAGTGGTGGTCCCCAAAACAACAATTTATTTGTGCATGCATTCATGTAATACATGTACATGTATTTATTTCCATTATATTATATAATTTTTTATTTTCTCTTATATTAAAGTTCTCTTTTTACTTGCGCTAATTCGGTTTAAACATCTAATATTCTACCTCCATGGGTAAGGAGACCTAATTGATTCAATAAATGACTGATACGCTCGTTTTCTAGTTGAATTTTTGTTTACGTCTGAACCTGCAAGACCAGTGGTTTAACCTGCAACAATAGGTTGTTTTCACAATACTAAACACAATGCCAAATCACTTGAGTTTTTAATTGGCGCAATCTTGCATTGATAATTTAAGTTATATATGACAAACTATTGTTACGAATTTGATAACAAGTTTTGATAGGGGGTATTGGAATGCTTCCTATCGAACTCAATAATTAACATATTCTCCGGTAGAATACACATGGGCGTCGCGGGGGGGGGGGCAAGGGGGCGTAACACCCCCCCCCCCGGAAAACGGAAAAAAGGGGGGTGGGAAGGGAAAAGGAAGAAAAAAGAGGAAAAAGAGCCGTGCGTAGCCATATTGCTTATAATTTGATGGGGGAGGGAGTAGGGCAAATGCTCCCCTGCTCACGTTCGGAAAAATGAAAAATTAAAAATATAATGAAAAAGTTAAGGAATTTTGGGGAAAAATTGCATTGCCGCCCCCCCCCCCCCCCCCCCGGAAAGAATCCTGGCGACGCCCATGATAATGCATACAAATAACTGCATTGCTTTCCACATCCCTCTAAAATTAGACACACTGAAAATAATCATGTCATCAGTGTCAAACATTGGGGAAACTTAATCATTAATTCCTTGAATTGAATGGAAAGCCCATCTTAAAACCCTTGGATATGACAGTGATATAATCGGCATGACCACTGTGCGGGAGTTCAGGTTCACGTAGGCCTAGTGGCAGATTAATTCTCTTGCCCTTCCCGCGATGTGATCCGGGTTGAGTCCCGCCTATAAGCCAACACGTGTGTTGTGTTTATGGGTCCTTTCAAACCAGTAAATAATGGAACGAACTCACCGAGTCTTCACAGGAACTCGTGGCATGGGCGCCGCCATTTTAATACACACTGTAACTCATGGAACGTGTAGTTGGTGTCCCTCACAAAACGTATCATAATGCATGGACATACGACATCTCCCCCCTTTAAGCTGTCAACAAACAAAACTGGTTAAACACATTAACAATGAACAATAGTTAACAGTAAATAAATGGCAATGCTTTCTGGCATTAAAACATATGTTGTGAATGCTGCTGTGAAAGTGTGTTCAGTTAAGGTTGTTTAGGTCTGAAATTATGTGAGATTATTCAAGTGCCAAAATCCTGAAATTGTCCAGATTTGTGAGCAATCTAGAGTTCAGTTCTGTGGAGTGTAGAGTTCAATGTTCCAGTTTAGTGCCAGGTTTAGTACACCACATAATCCTGGTGCCAGCGTGGAGGTTTTCCTGTGCGTCGTGGTCTGACTGTTGTTGTTGGCTTGGGATTCTGTGGGTGAATTGGGTCAGGTGGGGTCTGGACTTCAAGAACTGGTTCTGGTTCTGGGATAAGCAGCAAGTGGCGACGGTTACGACGATACTCGACGCCCTGAACGTTGACAATGTAGGAGCGTGGGGGACCTGCTTTTCGAACCACCTCACCCAACGGACTCAGATGTGTTTTGTTGCGGATCCGCACCGTGTCACCTGGTTTCAGCTCACACAGATGACGGACGCCATGCTTCTCGTTGAAGTAAGACTCGCTCTTGGCCTTACGTTGCTTGTCGGCTGCCTTCAACTGGTGCGTGTTGATCACCTTGGGACGGAGATTGCGAGGGAGTGTTGGCAATGTTGTGCGTAGTTCGCGACCCATCAGCAGGCGTGCAGGACTAAGGTTGAGGCCTGGGATTGGTGTGGATCGGTAGGTCAGCAATGCTCGCAGAGGATCAGGCTGCCGGAGCATGGATTTAGCAATGTGGACTGCCTTCTCGGCCATTCCATTCGCCTGAGGGTAGTTTGGGCTAGATGTGAGATGTTGGATGTCATACTCACTTGCAAATTGGTTGAACTCGGTCAGGAACTGTGGCCCATTATCGGTGACGATAACCTCAGGAATGCCAAAACGGGCGAAAGTGGCCTTCAAAAAGTTAATGACGGCCAACGACGTTGTTGTCGGGAGATGATGGACCTCCATCCATCGCGAAAAGTAGTCGACTAGGACTATGTAGTGTCTCCCATTGACCTCTGCCAGATCACAGGCAAGACGTTGCCAAGGTCGTTCAGGAAGCGGAGTCGAGATAAGAGGTTCCGCTCGCTGTGCTGACTGCTTGGTCTGACAGAAGGAGCATTTCTCTATGTACTGGGCAATGTCGCTCCCAATACCTGGCCACCAAACGGCTTGAGCAGCTCGGGCTCTGGACTTTGATATTCCCTGGTGACCTTCGTGGATCCTCAACAGCATCTCTTGGCGCATATTTGCCGGGATGACGATGCGGTCGCCATGGGTGAGGATCCCCTGGACGAAGCTGAGGTTGTCTTGGTTCTCCCAGTAGAGCTTCACTGTTGTTGATTCAATGTCGCGGGAGTACTTTGGCCAGCCACTGCGAATGTGTGATGCGACTTGCACCAGCACTTCATCGAGGGCAGTTTCACGTTTGATCTCGTCCAATTTCCCCTGGGAGACTGGCCAGTGGCTTGTGACCATATGGACATGTGCTTCAACTTCGTCTGGAAGGTTGTCGCTTTCAGTGACCGATGACTTCAAGGGTGCGCGAGACAGGGTATCGGCCACAGTGAGGAGTTTGCCAGGTACGTACTCTGCAGTGCAGTGGTACTTCATGAGACGCATAAGAAGTCGTTGACACCTCAGCGGAGCGTCACACAGATCCTTATTGTTGATGAGTGGAACCAGCGGTTTATGGTCAGTCTGTATGGTGACGTGAAGGCCTCGAAGGTATACGTAAAACCTTTCGCACGACCACACCGAGGCCAACAGCTCTTTCTCTATCTGCGCGTAGCGTCGTTCAGATGGAGTGAGGCTTCTTGAACAGTACGCCACTGGCTTCCACTGTTTGTCATCTTGTTGCTGCAGAATACATCCACCCAGTCCGTATTCGCTTGCATCAGCGCTAACCATGGTCGGCTTATTTGGATCATAGAAAGCGAGTGCAGGAGCTGATGTGAGGAGTGTCTTAATGCTGCGAAAAGCTGACTGCTGTGGTGATCCCCACACCCAGCTGACATCACTCTTCAGTAGGTCATTAATTGGTGCAGCGACTGAAGAGACATGGGGAATGAATCGCGCAAGCCAGTTGATCATCCCCATTAGTCGTTTGACTTCGGTTTTGGTGGTTGGCGGTGGCATTTGGATGATCGCTGCTATCTTTGCAGGGTCGGCATGGATGCCGTCTTTATCAAGCTTCATGCCGAGGAAGTCGACCTTTGTTTGGGCGATTTTGCATTTGTCCTTGTTCAGCTGTAGTCCAGCGTTCTGCACAATTTCGAGAATGCGCTGGAGTCTTTCATCGTGTTCTTCTTTTGTGCGACCGGTGATCAGTACGTCGTCCATGTACACCACGACCCCGGGTATGTCGGTTAGAAGGTCGCACATGATGCGTTGATATATTTCTGGTGCCGATGTGATGCCAAATGGAAGGCGTTTAAAGCAGTAACGCCCGAATGGTGTAATGAAGGTAGTGAACTTCTGGCTTTCCTCTGTCAGTGGTACTTGCCAGAAGCCATGCTTGGCATCTAGCAGGGAGAATATCTGGGCGCCAGCGACTTTGCCGAGGACTTCTTCGACGGTTGGTATGGTAAACCTCTCCCTGACAACTGCTTTGTTCAGTCGTCTGAGGTCTACGCATAGGCGAATGTCACCATTCTTTTTCGGCGCTATCACAATAGGCGAGCACCAATCTGTGGGGTCAGTGATACGCTGAATGATGTTCTGTTGCTCCATCCTCTCCAGCTCCTCTTTCAGTTTGGGCATGAGAGGAATGGGGATACGACGAGGAGTCATGACGCAGTAAGGGGTGGTGGCTTCGTCTACCTTGATGCTAACTGCTTGTCCATGCAGACATCCACCCCCTTCAAAAACACTCTCATTGCTGAGTAGAGTGTAGACTCTGTGGACCAATCCAAGCGAGTCACAGGCATGCTTGCCTATGACTGGTTCTCCCTGAGGCAAGATGAGGAACAGCAAGCTTTGAGTTTTGCCCTTGACTTGGCAAATGAGTCTGGTCTGGCCGATTGGTGTGGCTTTTCCCCCGAAGAATCCTGTAAGGCGTGTTGAGGACGGCTGTAGGGTCTTATCGGGGACATTCAGCGCGTTGAAGATGTCAAGCGGGAGGATATTGACCTCAGAGCCCGTGTCAAGTAGGAATGACACAGTCTGTCCATGTACATGGAGATCCTGTCTCCAAACGTCATCGATGGGCAGTTGCTGTCGGCGTATGGCACCGACAAAGAACTCGTTCTCTGCAAAAGTACAGGTTTCATCCTCTTGTTCTGGATCTGTCTGGAGAACTGCTCGCATCTGTTTGGGCCTTGATCGGCAGACTTTTGAAAAGTGGCCGATCTTATTGCAGCTCTTACAGTGTTGTCCCTTGGCAGGACAAGTTCTATGGGTAGAGGCGTAGCCGCAATTCTGGCAAAGGGGACCACTCAGTCTGGGGTACGAGGATCGCTGATCCCTTCTCATGGGAGGCTTGTTGGAGCGTTGCTTCTGGCGCTGCTGCACCTGATGGACTGCCTGGACTGTAGTAGTATTACTATCTCCCCGGGCCTTAATGTCCTGCTGATCCTTTGTGGCTGTTTCAAGCGTTTTGGCAAGTTCGATGGCTTTGGAGAATGTCAGGCCATCTTTGGTGAGCAAGTGTTTCTGGATGAACAAACTGCGTATGCCGCAAACTAGCCGGTCGCGGAGGGCATCATCAAGAAAAGAACCGAATTTACACGGTCCAGCCAAGGTTTGCAATTCCACAGAATACTGTGCTACAGTCTCACCAGCATTTTGATTGCGCTGATAAAACCGGAATCGTTCAGCAATCACCAGTCGTTTGGGTCCGTAGTGCGATTTGAGCAGAGTACACAGTTCAGTGTAAGTCTTTTCAGTGACTGCCACAGGTTCAGAAAGGCTCTTCACAGTTTTGTACACATTTGCTCCGATACAACTCAGCAGAACAGCAGACTGCTTGGCTGGAGAAATGTCATTGGCCTTGAAATACAGGTCCAATCGTTCGAGGTAGTTGGTGATTTCCTCTACTTGGTCATATGGATCGAGCCGTCCGATCAAAGCTGAACTATAGGGCGCCCCCTGTGACTGCGACATGATCGATGTACGTTAGACACACGTACGAACGTGGCGAATCGGACGAAAAATAACGGTTTGTTTTGCCACAAAATGTCCAACTACCTGACGTGATATAGTCTCAAAATGTCACTGATTATGTCCGCAAACATTTACTGGGACCACCGCTGCCACTATGTTGTGTTTATGGGTCCTTTCAAACCAGTAAATAATGGAACGAACTCACCGAGTCTTCACAGGAACTCGTGGCATGGGCGCCGCCATTTTAATACACACTGTAACTCATGGAACGTGTAGTTGGTGTCCCTCACAAAACGTATCATAATGCATGGACATACGACAACGTGGATCGATGATCGAATTCTCAGCCCCTGCCGGATTTGATGGGTTTCTCTGGAAGGTCATACCGGGGTTTTCCTCCCACCACTAAAACTGCAATTCCGTTCCTCTTCCCACAATTGAAGGTGGAAATAAGTCAAAAGACTTCTGCGGAATATCCCGACCATATGCCAGAGAATATATGAACTTAACTTAAAGCAAGGTCATCAACTCGTTACGTGTTTTCCAGAAGTTATTACCAACTGACCAACATACATTTTGATATCAGACTGGACATGATAGACGCAACCCAAGAGACAGACGGGTGCCAATAAGTATCACGCAAGCATTCCGCTCATCGAAAATCGCCGAAAATACAAAATACAATCATGGGCGTCGCCAGGATTTTTTCTAGAGGGGGGCAAAAAAAATTTTTGCCAAAAAATGCTTGTTTTTCTCAACACATTCTCGATTGATTAGTTTTAGAGGGGGGCAGGGACATTCCCCCCCCCCCCCCAACTCATTAAATTTACACCACTTTGTCTTCGCGCCTCTTTTTCTTTCTTTTTCTTTTTTTCTTTTTTTCTTCCTTTTTTTTTTTTTTTTTTTTTTTTGGTTTTCCAGGGGGGGGCAAGTGCCCCCCCTTGCCCCCCCCTCGCGACGCCCATGAATACAATAGTTTAACTTTCTGTACAGATATACTTTGTCATTTAGTTGCATTTGTTTTACGGAAAACAAGTTTTCACTTATACAAATTGAATCAGTGGTATACAAGAGCCCTTGGGCCAAAAAAAATCTTCGGTTTCTGGTATGGAGCTTGTCCCCATGTGCCAGGGTGCGGCGACGCGACTTTTTTTCCCATTTTTGTTTGAACAACACCGTCTGCAAATGGTGCTCGACACTTCTGTGCAAGAAAGGCCACATAACGCTTTTACTCGATCGTAACCCCATCTAAAAACACATCAGAATTGTGCAGCAGCAGGATTCTAGTCAAACCAGTGTGTTTGGCGGTTTTGAAACACCATCTTGCATTGAAAAAAAAACCCTTAAATTTTGCCGACGCGCATGGCTACAGCTAAGCGCACGCATACCAGAAACCCGAGCTTTTTTTTTGGCCTTGTGGTGGAAAACGCAAATTCTGACATTAAAGAAATGCAACATTTGCAAACATAAAAAAACGAAATGATCAAATTATCACGAAATACCTTACTGAATTGTTAGGGACTGACAGTCTAAAGCATCCTTTGAAATCGTGGCTCCTGGTGTGCTGACATTTTCAAGAAAACCTGTATTTTGCCTTTTTCAAAAATTGTTTTTAATTTTTCATATTTAGTTATTCTGACTTTTCTTTGCAATTGAAGGGGTACAAGCCTCTGACCTTACAATTCCCCAAAGTGTATTAATTGCTCCGTTTCATCTTAAGTGGGATCAGGGAACCAGACCACAAGAACATGATAGGTTTTCTTGGTTTTTCCAGCATCTACAAGCCCAAATCGTGAAACAAGTCAGTTTACCAATATTTTCTATACCATATTAATCCTCCAAATCCATTTAATTCTGAAAATTGAAGCAAAGGCAAATGTTGTACATTCCCTTTAAGTAAAGCCATTTTAATAGACACACCAAGGAACAGCTACCCAAATCCTATACATTTCAATTAAAGGGAAAATACAACATTTGCAAACATCAAAAAATAAAACTACCAAATCATTTTGAAATACCTTGCTGGACTGTTAGTCAATGACAGTGTAAAGCATCCTGTAAAATCATGGCACCTGGTATACTGTCATTTTCAAGAAAAGTGGTATTTTTGTATCAATTTCCAACGCTGATCGGCCGATCAGCGTTGGAAAAAACTGGCTTTTTTTCAAATACTGGCCCAAATTGACCATCGCACTTGTTTGCAATCGATTACCCACCTATGAACGGGTACAAGCCAGCTAGACTGGTTCCCTGACCTTACAATTCCCCAATGTATGTAAACTGCTCTGTTTCTTCTTAAATGGAGTCAGGGAACCAGACTACAGGAAAATGATTGTTTTTCTTGGTTTTTATAGCATTCTTGAACCCAAAACCTTAAAAAAGTCAGTGTAACTATATTTGCTATATATTTCCAACCCCCCAAATCCATCCATTTCTGAAAATTACAGCAAAAGCAAATGATGTATATTCCCTTTAAGAGTTATAATGCTTTCGTGTTTAAGTGCCAGCCAATTTCCTGAAAACACACACATTGTTTATGCCCATGTCTGGTTGTTAAAGGCACTGGGAATATTGGTTACTATCTGGAAACGGAACTACCGATATAATGAGAAAAGCCTTGCTCAAACTGAAGACAGGGATGGTAGCCAATACCCAGTTAAATGTTTTCTGCCTGGAAATGTCACTTGTTTGGAAGAAAACAACCGTTGAAGCTAGTTGGTTTAAAAAACAAAAGTGTGGCAGCAGGCACACTTTTGTACATGTATTTGCAACATAATCCAGTCATCAGACCAAAATGTGTGTAATGTCCTGTCTGTTTCTCAAACTGTGCAGTAGCCACCGAGACCAAAATTCCACAGGTTATAGGCATAAAGTAAAAGTAAAGTCTGTCCTGAGCCAATGTGGCTCATCAGGCCGACGTTTATCTCCGGTTTCAGTAGCATGAAACGACTGAGAATATTTCTACTCCCCCTGGATGGGATGCTAGTCCGTCGCAGGTTACTCCCCAGCTAATGCCGGTACCCATTTATACTTCTGGGTGGAGAGGGACAAGTGGGGTGAAGTGCCTTGCCCAAGGACACAATATATGACCAGCGGCTGGATTCGGTTATAGGCATAGTTGTTAGTTATTTAATATTTTGAGCGATTCTATAAATGAATATTTTATGTACCTTAAAGCATGGTGTATGCAATGTGTACGTAAGTGCTGCAATCAATGCAACCAGGGCACTTGTGCATTAATCATTGACTGTCATTTCACCAGGTCAGGTATCTTGATTTTGGAGTTACAGCTTTGAGAAAACAGTTTTGCATGTGCGCATGCAGGAAATCAAGGAACAAACCTATATTGGGTTCTCACTTGAGTCTCTCAATTCATTTATATCATGGCAAAAAACTTGAATCTCTCCACACCCATTCAGCGACAAAAGGTGCATCATTATCATTTAGCCCTCTGCAATACAAATGGGGCAGGGGGTTCTAGCATGCCAACTTTGTTCTCACTTAATGGCACCTAACAATGTGGTCTATATCTCTTCCAGTTCCATCTTAGCCCCGTCTGGGTATTCCAGCATTGTATAGCCCCGGAGAATCTTTCTCTCGTCATGGCTAAGTACTGCCAGGATTTTACACAGCGCAAACCAAGCTGGGGTTCTTGTCTGCCAACTTTGTGTTGCTTGACTCATTGGCATCAAAGCAAAAAGCTTGAATCTCCCTTCTAACTTGGCTGGAGACTTGCAGCATTCCACATCTCTGGACATTGAATCAAGAAGGGAATGCAGCTGGGGGTCTTGCCTGTCCACTTTGTGTCCCTCGATTCGGTGGCATCATGGCAAAACACTTGAATCTTTCTCCCATCTGGGCAGGATCTGTCAGCATCCTATACCCAGTAAGCAGACCCTTACTCTGCTCAGCTGTGGCGCTCTTCAGCAGCATCTATGCGAAAAAGTGATTTGCAGCGTCAAGCTAGCAACCAGATCTCAGTTATCCAGTTTGTGATAATTGAGGGCGATATTCAAAGTGGTAGTCGAGTACATCATGAGTCAAAACACATGTTCATCACAACTTAAATACAAATTCAAACCACAGTTCAATAATCAGATGTACAAGTTACTTAGATAAACATGAAAAAGGGTATACTGCCCATGGAATTGTAAGGTGACTTGGAGTTTGAGTAAGTGAAGGAAAAGTGGGTGACATTTTGCAACTCTGCATATATATGCATACATGCCAGATGATAAATAACATTAAACAGAGCATACATTGAAGCAAGGGGAACAAGATCATCGTGCACTTAATGTAACTGAGATCAAAAGGGACGATACCTATGTATTGTGAACATTTTATTTAAAACGAAAAGTTGATCATGTGTACTGTATACAGTCAAGGAAAATATTAGGCCCCAAGTCTTTGTTTCTCTTTGTTTTCCTTTGTTTTCCATTACTGATGGTACCTGTTATAGCAAGGAAATTTGTCAAGTCCCAAGGACTTTGTTATAAAGGTGTTCGACTGTATAAACATATTACTAATATTATTTAAATAAAAACAATCTTTTGATGGCAACACTCACTTTCAGAAACCTTTTCCTGCTTGCAAAAACAATTAAGTGACAGTATTACCTTGAGTCTTGTCTCAATGCCCATTGCCTTGAGAAATGATTCTTGAGTAATAGGGCCATAAGTTGACGCTGAAATCAAAGAAAATCGCATAATATCAGAAATATGTTAGCACATAAGTCGGAACCTGTGACTTGACTACAACCTTGTATCATATTGGCAATGCTCTGTAATTGAACGTCTAAGAATACGAGGTTTGTGGATGACACCATGTGAAAATCTTGAAAATCTCTGCGAAGAAGTACTGATTCTGAAAGAAAACATTCTCACAATCCATTTAAAGAACTAACACTTCTTCACAGAAGTAACTGTTTTCCACATTGCATGATACATGTGCACGTATCATTAAATCGTGTAAAGTTTCAAATCACACAAATGGGCCTAGTTGAACCAGTCTCACTAAATATAACATGTATAAGGCCAAAAACAAAAAGTCTCCGGTTTCTGGTATGGAGCTTCCCCAAAAATGTGGTGCAGCAAAGCGGCTTTTTTTTTTTACCTGTTTTTTTTTTGCTTCAAATGTCGGCTGATGACTGCAAATGGTGCCCGACTAAACTTAGTGCAAATATATGGGAGTCCAGAGAGGCCACATAAAACTTAATCTCTATCATAACCCCATCTAAAAACATGTTAAAATCGTGCAGCAGCAGGATTCCAGTCAAACCAGTGAGTTTGGCGGTTTTGAGACATCGTCTTTTATTGAAAAAAAAATTTTCATTTTGCCGACGCGCATGGCTACGGCGACGCGCACGCGCATACCAGAAACCGGAGACTTTTTTTTTGGCCTAATGCTATTCTGAATTAAATAATTATGATCTTGATATTAATTACTTTTCATCCATGCATGTACTATAAAAGAATTAACAAATTACCTTTGCCTTGAACTATTTGACGGAAATATGAAAAGTCAACATCAGCAGTAAGATCCGCAGTCCCCGGTTCACAAAGTACGTCATGAAGTCGGTGTTTCTTGAATCCCTGTTTTGATTAAACAAAGTCGAAGTTTAAAATTTATAAAAATTGAAAACAGAATGCAAAAAAAAAGTAATTATCAATTTTCTTATATTTCCCGCTTCGCTGATGGTGAGCTGGCATATCAGTTTTGAAACTGCACTAGAGCAGATACCAGTGGTGGGGTTTAAATCCGGATTTTTAATAATTTGGTTTGAATACCACTGATTTTGGAACTGGATATCGAGATCAACCTTAAAGGGAAAATACAACATTTGCAAACATCAAAAAATAAAACTACCACATCATTTTGAAATACCTTGCTGGACTGTTAGTGAATGACAGTGTAAAGCATCCTATAAAATCATGGCACCTGGTATACTGTCATTTTCAAGACAAGTGGTATTTTTGTATCAATTTCCAACGCTGATCGGCCGATCAGCGTTGGAAAAAACTGGCTTTTTTTCAAATACTGGCCCCAGTTGACCATCGCACTTGTTTGCAATCGATTACACACCTATGAACGGGTACAAGCCAGCTAGACTGGTTCCCTGACCTTACAATTCCCCAATATATGTAAACTGCTCTGTTTCTTCTTAAATGGAGTCAGGGAACCAGACTACAGGAAAATGATTGTTTTTCTTGGTTTTTATAGCATTTTCGAACCCAAAACCTCAAAAAAGTCAGTGTAAATATATTTGCTATATATTTCCAACCCCCCAATTCCATCCATTTCTGAAAATTACAGCAAAAGCAAATGATGTATATTCCCTTTAAAAGAAATTAAGCCTTCCCTTTTTGTGACACAGGCTAAAGAAAACAACTGGAACATCCTCAATTTGTTCCATGGTCTCTAATTGTAACAGCATTCACTTGCTAGAGGTCTTCGTGGTATATGTGAGTAATCGTGGTATATGAATAATAAACACTTAAAGAAATTAAAGCAATAACAAGTTGAAATCTTGACTATCTGGGTTTCAATTATAGCGCTTTTATACATGCCACTTCTGCAAGGGGACACTTTTGAGATGCTTGGTGACAGCCATTGATCTGCAGTATCTCCATTATATATAACAGAGATCAGTGGTCACAGCAGAAACACCAGTCCTTTTCTAAAAGGTTTAGTCATGTTTCAGCTACATGTATGTGTGCAAGTCCAAAATGACGCAAACAATACAAAAAGATGTCCTTCTTTGCACGGGCGTCGCCAGGATTTTTGCTAGAGGGGGCAAGCACATTTTCCCCCAAAATCCCTACAATATCCAGCATTTTCCCGATTTATCATTTTTTCAAGGGTGGGCAGGGACATTCCCCCCCCCCCACCCCATTAAATCAACAACAATATGACTTCGCTGCTCTTTTTTTGGCTTGTCCAGGGGCCCCCCTTGCCTTCCTCAAGACGCCCATGCTTCTTTGAATATACAAATGTAAATTACAATTGCACACTGATTACTTTAAACATGCTTCTTGACTACAACCAACGGAAAAAGAGGACATTTTGAAAACCCACCCTAAGTGTGTCAGTCTTGGTTCCATCATGTCCATAGTCTACAATGAGACTCATTCCACCATGCTCGGATACCCTGTGAGCCATCTCCTGTACAATGGCCCCTCCCTCTGGACAGACTTCAACGTGATCTCTCCTGTCATTGCCCTGTGTCAGAGACTAAGAGAAAACAAGGACATATAATTCTACAGACCCATTGCATTCAGCACCCATCTTTGAGGCATTCTTCATCTGTTTCATTTTAAATACAATAAATGCACGAGAGATGTACCCATGCGTGTCCCCTTCCTATGTATAACTTTTTTGTGTTGTGTCAAACAACTATTGCCTGTGAGAATTAAAAAATGTCTTGTAAAATGGCCTGTCCCTCTACACAAACTTCTTTGTGAGCTCTGCTGTCACTTTCGATTCCATGCCCCTGAGAGAAATGCTTGAGGGCACTGCTTATCCTCGTACAAATGCATATAATACACCCCTTACCCAATGAGATAGATAACCATACTTGGTCTAAAGCCCGCTGCACACCTTTCCGATTTTGCCAGTACACTGGATCATCGGACCATCGTACAGAGGTGTGCGCCGACAAATCGGACCGATCTTACCGTACACCAGCCAACCGGATGAAATCAAACGTCGACTTTTTCGCATCCGATTTCACCAGATACAATGTCACTGGAAAGGTGTGCGAGCAGCACTCCGACTTCACCAGACGTGAACATTATGTTAACAATTCAGATTCACGAAGGTAGTCACATGATTTAAAACTGATGGCTGCCATTTTGTCATCATGAGACTGGTCATATCACGTGACTGATCATCATGTGACTGATCGGAAACAGAATCGGACATGTGTGCAGGTTAATGTTGCTGTCTCCACATGGTCTGCTGATCCAGTGAACTGGTAAAGTTGGAAAGGTGTGCAGCGGGCTTTTACCAATGCAACAATGTCCAAGCTGGAACATGTGCAAGGTACATAATGATGCATCAGGCAAAAGTTTCATACTAGTAAAAAAAATATTGTCTAAGAGTCTGACTGACAAATTACTACTACATTTCACCCCGAACCCATGTGGCCTGATGAGATTTGAAACTGCAATGGCTGCATTGACATGCATCAATTTCTGCACCCCTAATAACCTATCGGGTTGCTCCACCCACCTGAAGGTACACCGTTGAAGCTGGTGTTGGTGCGGGTGACAACACAAATCGTAGGTGATGAGGCCCATTATCATCACTGTCCACATCAACTAGGACCTCACGCCAACCCTTCTCTGTTTTCTGAACAAAATATAACGCAGATATCATTTCATATTTTTCTTCTATATTTCATATGGCTTTTTGGTAAGCAAACCTGAATGAAATTAACTGATAATGATGGAAGGAAATCTTTACCTGAAATTTATGGATCGGCAGAGCATCAAAGAACTCATGAGCAATGAAACAGGACATCCCTAGCACAAAAAGACAATAACAGAATTTATTAGGAGTTTGCAAGCAAATAAAAGGAGTTAGCTCAGGTCAAGACACAGGTAACAAATTAAACAAACTTTTTTAAATGTGTACTGGTAGTTATAAGAAAGCATACAGTTATATCTGATTAGACAAAAAAACGTTGTCTATAAAAGGTCAGAGCTCAAACAAAATCCGAAAGCTTCATAGGATCACCGAGTGGAACCCTTAAGAAACATCAAGTTCAGACAAACGATGGGGGACTTCTCAAGAAAACAATTTTCTTATGAAGCTCCAGCCTAGTAACTAGGATGTTAATTATTTGTGGTGCGTATGTTAAACTCGAAGGAAGATTGCGTAAAGGAAGATTGCGTAAAGGTAGGTCCTTTTTTCCATTTTGGGTTTCGTTTAAACGTTTGGAATATTTGTAAGCGGATTTAGAATTGTTTTTCGTTTAAACGTTTAAACGCGTAAATGTCACATCCTTAGTCACTAATTACATGTATATCTTACATTGCTTCCATAACTTAAAAAGCCAACTATTGTATCAAGTTTTGGATTCTTTTTACATGTTTTCTGCATCTATCGATTGACACAAGCTATAATTCTTCAATTGGCAATTATGTGTCTGTACCAGGCCTTGAATAATCCATTTGAGATTTCAACAACATTGCTTCACCTTTTGGCACCTCCTTGAGACTCCTGTACCATGACACAGGCACCCCAGTCTTGCTGATGCTGGTTTTGTAAGCTGCACCTGAATCTAGACTGCATCTGTCAGCAGGAGAATCATGGTTTACCTCTGGTTCCTCTGTGTCTGTCCTTGATCCCTGCCGACCTGTTAGTTTATCCTCTTGAAGTTGGCTCATCTTGGGACTGACCTCTACTAGATGGAGTGACAGGGAGTCGCCGGTTACATGCTGGAACTGCTTGAACACCTGTGACCATAAAAGATTTAATTCAGAAAGATTAAGTACTCAAAAATTAGTAGAAGTGGTAGTCTGTCGAATTGATGATGACGTCTGAAGAAAGTTATAGACTCCGATATGTTGGGAACTATTCCAGGTTTATTAGACGACAACACGAGTTCACATACGAACATGTAAGCGGCCATGTTAGGAGTGATGCATGCTGGGATACATGGATTAGACTTGCTACAATGCATCGATTAGATGGGAATCGCTACATCCTCTCTTCTAAGTTTAGTTTTAACATTTTGAATAAAACAGCTTTATGAAATAAACATTTGTTTGATCAGTGAATTTGTAAACTGGAGTCTGGTAATTTAAAGTCCGAGTATTTCACTGATTTGAAAACACTTAATGAATATTTAAAAAACACACTGGTTATGTAAATGTACCAAGATAAACAATTACTATCCTTTCCTCTGAAAAACAAACAGAGGGTTAAACCAATAATATAGTAAAAAAACAACAAACAAAACTCAAATGCCTTGAGTACTGAGATAGACTGTCTCAGTACTCGATGTGTGTACAAGGGATTATTCTGCCCTCATCTTTGGAGTGTACAACACATAACACATGTTGAGTAGGCAAATGTAGTTACTAACAGTCCAGTAGTCGAGGACAGTCCAAAGTTATCAGCATGAAATTTGGATCAACAACACAAATCCAGTGTGGTCAAAGCAATAACAGTCACACAAAACTGTTAAGTGTATTTAGGATTTGGCTTCGAGATGCGACCGGAACGAGTGAGAACTGGCTGTGGTGGAGGTGCGTGGGGGATGGCAGGCTGAGGCAGTGGATCCTGTGGCGGTAAGTAGAAGTCAGGTGAGTGTTGTTGCTGTGGAGGTGGTTCAGGGACTGGCAATAAGTGTCTCCGATTGCGGCGGTAGAGTGTACCTTGGGCATTGACGATGTACGATCTGGGGTTTCTGGAATGCTTTTGGACAATTCCAAGCTGATCGTGCCCTTTGGGTGATTGTAGACGGACAACTTGCCCTGGTGTCAGTGGTCGGAGGGGCTTGGCAGATTTGTCGTATGAAGACTTCTGTTGCTGTTGCCTCTTGCGTAACTGTGCTGTGACGCGTGTGTAAATGGCGGGTTTAAGGAGTGGCGTCGGGGTAGGGATGGTTGTGCGAAGACGCCGTGACATGAGACGTTGGGAAGGTGAGCCAAGCTGGGGGTTGGTTGGGACATTGCGAATGTTCAGCAGGTTTCGGTAGAGGTCTGAACCGTCGCGTTTTGTCTTCTCGAGGAGTTGTTTGGCGCGCTTGACAGAGCTTTCTGCAAGGCCATTGGACTGGGGAAAATGGGGACTGCTGGTTGTATGCTGGAAGCCCCATGACTGTGCGAATTGTTTGAAGGCGAAGCAATCAAATTGTCGTGCGTTGTCACTGATAACGATGCGGGGGATTCCATGGATGGAAAATTGTCTCTTGAGTACCTCAATGACTGTAGAGGCACAGGTGTTGTCGAGTGAAGCGAAGTCAAACCAGCCGGAGTATGAGTCACCAAGGGCTAGGTAATCCATACCGTTCCAATGGAATAGGTCAACTCCAATGTGTTCCCATGGTAGGCTGGGTGGGGGGTAGCTTTTCAGTGGTTCTTTCTGTTGATGGGCTTTGGTAGCGTTGCAAACTGTGCATCCAGAGATGGACTGCTCAATATCAAGGCACATTGATGGCCAGTAAACTACATCTCTGGCTCTGCGTTTGGTAGCCTCGATGCCTGGGTGACCTTCATGCAGTATTTGGATGTATTCTGCACGTAGTGACTTGGGAATGATGGCCTTATGTCCCTTTAAGATGATACCGCGGTCGAGAACCAGTTCATCTCTGAACGCGAAGTAGGGGTGGGCCTTTGGTGGGGCATTGTTGATATGCGAAGGCCATCCGCGACTGATGACATCAGTGAGCTGTTGCATGGCAGAGTCACAGGCAGTTGCTTTCTTGAGCTGTTCAAGTCGCATGTCAGAGATTGACAGGAGGGTCATGACTTGCAGGTCATCAGTTTCAGTACCGGTCGTTGTCAAGGGTGCACGTGACAAAGTGTCGGCAAGGAACAATTCTTTTCCTTTCTTGTACACGAGGGTGATGTTATACCTCTGTAACCGGAGAAGCATGCGTTGAAGCCGCGCAGGGGCACTCAGCAGAGGCTTTTTGACGATGGTGACCAATGGTTGGTGGTCAGTTTCGACTACGATGTCTTTACCGTATATGTAGTCGTGGAACTTGGTGCAGGCAAACACAACTGCAAGCAGTTCTTTTTCAATCTGTGCGTAGCGTTGTTCAGTGTCACTCATGGTACGTGAAGCATACGCGACAGGGGCACCCTCTTGTAGGCAGGCTGCGCCAAGGCCAAACTTGGAGGCATCGCAGGTCAACGTGACTGGCTTGCGGACATCAAAGTACGTGAGTGTCGGCGCATTAGCAATCTTGTCCTTGATTGCTAGAAATGCGGCATTGTGTTGCTCTAGCCAGCACCAATGGATGTCACTATGTGTGAGCTCGCGTAGTGGGGCTGTTAAGTCGCTCAAGTTGGGTACAAACTTGGCCAGGTATGTCACCATGCCAAGAAAGCGTTGTACGGCAGTAACGTCGTTGGGTGGAGGCATGTCGGTGATAGCACTGACTTTGGCTGGGTCAGGCTTAAGACCACTGGCGGTGAAGACGTGACCGACATATGAGACTTGTTCAAGACCGAAGCGGCACTTTGTGGGGTTGAGGCGCATGTTGATTTTGCGTATCCGATCAAGGACAGTTTTGAGGTTTTGATCATGTTCCTCTTTAGTGCGTCCACCAACTAGTATGTCATCTACGATGATGGAGCATGGCAGATCGGCGAATATCTGCTCCATGGTTCTCTGGTACACATCGGAGGCAGAACAGAGGCCGTAGGGCATGCGAAGATAGCGGTATCTGCCATATGGCGTGCTGAATGTAGTCAGCAGTGATGATTCGTAGTCCAAGGGGATCTGCCAGAACGAGCATTTAGCATCAAGCACTGAGAAAACTGTCGCACCATCCATCTTGGCAGCGACTTCCTCTACTGTTCGGGTAGGGTGGTGTGGGCGTTTCAGTGCTTCGTTAAGGTCGCGAGGGTCGATGCATAAGCGGATTTCTTCGCTGTTTTTCTTATGAGTCGCGACCATGGAGGAAACCCAGTCTGTCGGTTCGGAGACTGGAGTGATCACGCCTAGGGTAGTCATCCGCTGCAGTTCGGACTTGACCTTGTCTTGCATTGCAGCAGGGATGCGACGTGGGGGTCGGACAACCGGCGTAGCATTGGGGTCTATGGTCATGGTGTAGATGACTGGTAGTGACCCGAGCGAGCTGTCAAACAGGTCTTCGTAGTCTTTGAAGACTTGAGGCGATGTGGTGTCATTGGAGACATGGTAAACCAAGTTATTGACAGACAGCAGGCCTAGACGGAAGCAATCGGTTAAGCCGAGGATAGCTTTCACTTGTGTGTCAACAATGTGAAAGTCAATATTGTGGTCAGTCAGCGATGAGTCAATGCGACATGGCAGTGTAGCTAGTCCAACTGTGTGGAGCTCGGTTCCTCCATAAGCGATGAGCTTGGTTGACTTTGAATTATCAATGGACTTAGGTGGTGCGATGACGTTGTAAACATGCATGGGCAGGACGTTACAACGTGCACCAGTGTCAAGTTGGACAGGAACGTGTGTGTTATTCACCACAAGCGTAGCGTGGATGTCATGTTTCAAGTTCAAGTTGGTGTTGTCCACGGCTCGAACGTAAAATAATTCTTGCTCATCTACGGCAGGTTCGTCTTCCTCCGAGTATGAATCGGGGTTTACTGTGTAGACGTGGCGGCTGCTTCTGCAGTAATCAGCATAGTGATTCTTTTTGTTACATTTGTGGCAAGTCTTGCCATAGGCTGGGCATTCGCGCCTCTTGTGAAAAGTTCCACAATTTCCACAAGGTTTTCTGGGCTTTTGCTGCTGTGTAGAACTACTGCGTGCAGATGTCTGCCGTTGATTTGACCATGTTGGTCTGTTTGGGCGTTGAGCTTGTTTCTTTTTGAAAGCGTTGACAGTGGTATTTGATTCAGCCATTGTGCTGGTAGAGGCTGACAACATCTTTGCCTGATCACCTGCGAGCTGCATTGATTGTGCAAGTTCCACTGTGCGCTTGAGGTCAAGTTTGTCCTCTGGTTGGGCAAGCAGGGATTTCTGGATGCGTTCATTCTGCACGCCACACACAAGTCTGTCTCTCAGCATTTCATCGAGGTTTTGGCCAAACTTGCAGTCACTGGCCAGTGCACGTAGTGCAGCTAAATATTCGGCGATTGATTCACCAGATCCCCGACAGCGGCTGTTGAATTGAAAGCGAGCAATGATGCTAGACTTTGTGGGTTTGAAATGCTTCTCAAGTCTGTCCACTAGTTCTTGATATGTAGCTTCGTTTGGTTTCTTAGGGGCAAGAAGATCGCTAATCAGCTTATATGTTTGTGAACCAACGACAGAGTTGAGTATGGCCCTTTTGCGTGCTGCGTCGGAGATATTGTTCGCCGCGAAATATTCGCCGAGACGATCAGTGTACATTTCCCATGTCTCTTTCTTTTCACAAAACTCTCCAATATTGCCGAAAGTAGCCATGATGTATTAAGAAACGAATCCTGTACTTACTGACACCATGAAGAAAGTTATAGACTCCGATATGTTGGGAACTATTCCAGGTTTATTAGACGACAACACGAGTTCACATACGAACATGTAAGCGGCCATGTTAGGAGTGATGCATGCTGGGATACATGGATTAGACTTGCTACAATGCATCGATTAGATGGGAATCGCTACAACGTCTTCACAATTCTCCAATAGAACAAAAACTTATTGTCTAGGTACTAGAACTCTCATATGACGTCATAGACCAAACTTAGAGGCACAACCACTCCTGGCAAGGGATACTGTCATGCGGAGGGGGACGCTGCTGCTGCTGCTCATGCCTGACAGAAGCCTGCGCACCTCCCGAGCCTGTGTAAGTGCAGTCTCAAACCTCAATGGCCTGCTGACCTTCTCCTAGGCAGACTGCCAACCCAGGCTTATGACAGAGAAGGGCCTACATACTTCAGTGGAGATGGAGCAGCTCAATTCTCCATTTCACCCCAGCACATCCTAACCCATTTCGACCCCTCAAAAATTACATAAAGGCTGGTTAACACTGGTACTGTCAACATGGCCTATTCTGTTGCAGACTTATGGAGATACATGTAATAAGCCAAACTTCTTTACATTGGTGTACTATACGTGTACATTTACAGCCCCTCAAGATATGGGAGATATCACATATTAAATACAACATTCCTCACCAGTTGATACAAAGATTATTCCCTTTAACAATCTTACCCTTAACATATCATCAGCTAATGTTCCTCTGCCTGGACCCAGTTCCACAATTTGTAGCGGACTCTTCTGACCCCACTGCGTCCACTCATGGATGACCCATAGTGCAATCAGCTACAAAAATAAAACACACAAATTAATACTTTCACATCACTAAAAGGCCGTGTGTTGGATTTCAATGTCACTGACTTTAACTGGTGAATGTGTGAACCTAAGGAAAGTTGAAATGTCAGAATGTGGACTACATCGCTGTTCTTGCATACATGCAAGAACAGCGATGACGCCTAATGACAACCCAAGAAAGCTCCAGTGTGCGTAACTCACCACAGCATACACACGCTGGTTTGTGACTAATTTTTCATTTACATAAAATCCCAGAGTGTCTTCACATGGGCAGGTGGCACGTACAGTGGCCAGGGCTTCAGTTAAGGCTGTATCTAAATTATTTGGCTACAGCTGGAAAAAAAATATATGTAGATCGAGGCTCTGGCTACTTCCATATAGTGCATATGTGTAATTTCAAGCTGTAGACAAGTAATTTGGATGTTGCCTGCCTCTGTATTGGTCGCTGGCATGGAGTAGGGCAGTGCATCTGAACCACGTACCCCAGTACGTGACCGCTGATGTCAGAATCAGGTTCCAGACTAGGCAAAAAAATAATAATAATCGGTCTCTGGTCAGACCGAAGTTCCCGAATTGATGAGGCGACACGGGTTTTTTTTTTTCTTTTGGTGGCTTTTTTTGTTTTTTTCAAGCTTCAACTGTACAGACAAGGTGGGTACTATTTGCTTTTTTGTGTCCTCATTATACATTGGTGTCCTCCATCATTTGCCTTGGTGCCCTTTATCATTTGCCTTGGTGCAATTTCCCCATTCCTTGGTGCTCCTTGGTACAAAAATTTGAGGAGATGCGGCAATAGAGGGCACTGTTGTAGCTTCCGTGTTAATTTGAAGGAAAAAAAAAGTTGACGCGCATGATTAAAATCGACGCGCGCGCTGACCAGAGACTGAGTATTATTTTTTTTTTGCCGTATAGACCATTATCACGTTGCGGCCATCTTGATTTTTTCCCATTCACAACAACGTAACCAAAGCGAGGCTGGAAGGAAAAATAGTCTAGTTCCTTTTTGCACAGAAAACATTGTCATTCAGTACTGTTATACCATGACTGAAACGGTGACAGCATGACAAAGGTCTACAGAATCGAGTCCCCGAAACCAACTTTACATATACTTTGTAACTTCTCAGACAATGAAAAAGAAATGCTTTTAATGTCTTTTGTGGAGATTTTTAAAATTAAAAACAGGCTTCATGGAAAAACATAACAGATTCGTGAATCACAATTATGACGCTTGCGACAAATGCAATTTAAACCGTGAAGCTACAGGTATTGAGCTCACTGTGCACACTTGTATCTTAATAATAAAAATAATAATATCGGAGTCTTATATAGCGCACGTATCAACCAACAATTAGGTACTCAAGGCGCTGGAAATAATGTTTATTATTAAAGAAAGGTAAATAAAGTTTATGAGAAATATGAGACCCATTATGTAGCACCTTACAAGGGTTAACAAGATGCTGCGGCGCATATTGCAGCCACTGCCAGAAACACCGGGGCAAACCCTTCTCTTAGCGATACATGTAAGTATTACTGGGTTCTTTAACGTGCATTACACAACACACGGGACCTACGGCTTTACGTCCCATCCTGTACTGACGCACTAATGTGATAGTACTATCGTGCGGACCACTGGGTACCCGTGTTTTTTTTTTCAATCGGATACCCGGTTCTCATACTACCCGTAATGCACACCCCTAGCACGGAGTCCACAAAGAATAAGTTTTGTGAAGAAGGCCCGAGGAAAGCCATTTGACAGGCTATACAAAGTATTAATTGTACAATTTTTCAATCTTCAGTGTATAATGATGCAACTAAATTCTGGTCCAGCACTATAGTTGTATGTCTATCCAGAAGATTTTATTGCAGGAGGTTGCTTTTTTAGACCATGATTCGAACAACAAAAAGTCATATTTACCTCTCCGAACATTTGGCTTATCTCAGGTGACGTGATAAAGTCTCCTTTTGTGCCAAAGACATCTTGGCTCATGTAATAACCCTGTGGAAATCAAGTGTGAGACAAACAACATACGTGTAAAAGGAGTGTGAACTAGTACACAAGAAAACACGATATATGGCAAAGAGTGGTATCTACAGGGTGTCCCCCCCAAAAAAAAAAAAAAATTAAAAATAATAATAATAAATAATAACAATTGAACCCTCAAAGCACCCTCTTTGTCACAGCTTTTAAAAAATACATCGGAAAATATTTGAAAAGAATAGTTCATAGATTTGTAGTTATAATAATAATAATAATACCGAAGTCTTACATGTATATAGCGCATGTATCTAACAACAGTTAAGTACTCAAGGCGCTGGAAATTATGTCTATTATTAGAGACAGGTAAATGAAGTACATGAGAAATATGAGACCCATTATGTAGCACCTTTATAATGGTTTACAAGGTGCTGGGGCGCATTAAGCAGCCACTGGCAGAAACACCGGGGCAAACCCCTTCTCTTGGCGATAAGTTTTACTGGGTTCTTTAACGTGCATTACACAACACACGAGACCTAAGGCTTCACGTCCCATCCGAAGGCCGAAGCAATAATGGTAAAGCGCCTTGCTCAGGAGCGCAAGCACCATGTTCCCACAGTCAGGATTCGAACCCGTGTACCACGGCACACGAGTCGAACACCGTAACCACTGGACCACAGTTCTCCTAATGCAACCAGTCCTGATCCCTGGCAAGAATGGGCAAGCTAGCTGCCACCATGGCAGCAGTCACTATCAGAGTCCAATTCTTGGAACATTACTCCAACCTGAGAAATTCTAAGCATACATGTACTTCCCGGATGTTTTATTCAAACCAATACACAGGCTTGAGGTACCTGTGCCAAAATTCCCAAGTCTCAAGTTGATTCATCTTTTTGATAGTGTCCTCTGCAATCGCAGTGGCTTTACATCCCCCCCCCCCCCCCCCCCCCGACCACAGGCCGGCTACATTGTCCCTATTCTTCCCGAATCCTCCAAAATGCTCTTTGCAAAACGGAAGATTTCGCAGGATTGAGGCCATATGACAAAAAGGTGAGGTTGATTTTGGAGGATGCACCGTGTCAAGGTCTTGGGCCGGACCTTGTGCTGTATAAATGCTCAGCCGAGCACAAATTTAGGCCCAGACTATACATTTAATCCTCCGCACTGCTCTAGGATGTCGCTGGCTCTGCCTCAATATACCGACAGTGATTGCTGGAGGATTTTGCAGGACTGAGGCAGTGGTCACCCCTCCAAGGACCGCACTCAAGAAATAATGGAGGATTTTGGAGGATTGAGGCTGCATCCTAGCAAAAATGCCTAGGGAGTTAGGGGTTAACATTAAAGAGGTTGTGGAATGCTCGAAGACATTTCCGTCATTTTGGGGTATATGTAGCCTTAGGTGTGATGAAATAAAAAGGACTATTGTTTCTGTCATGAAATGAGTACAAAGGGTACATTTGAGAGCTATTTTTCATGTCCTGTTTCGACCCGAACGTGCAATTTGAGTAAAAGTCATCGTTGCGGGCAGCAAACAAAACACAGTAAATCGTGAAGTAATAAACAGGACTCGTTTATGCTACTCTGCATCGGGAGTCCTGTTTATTACGTCACGATTTACTGTGTTCTGTTTGCTGCCCGCAACAAAGACTTTTACACAAATTGCACGTTCAGGTCGAAACAGGCATGACAGGACTTGATAAACAGCTCTCAAAAGTACCTTTTGTACTCATTTTATGACAGAAACAATAGTCGTTTTTATTTCATCACACCTTAGGCTACATATACCCGAAAAATGACGGAAATGTCTTTGAGCATTCCACAACCTCTTTAAGTGAACAAAACCCACATCCATTATTGTACAAAGGCTTCCAGCAAACCAACTCACAGTGACTGGGTTCGTAAGCACTTCTCTCATGTACTCAGCGACAGTTAAGGGTCCTGTCGTCTGAATACAACGTCTAAGATGCTGCACTCCCACAGTCTCAGCACTCTTTGTAGAAGCATACCTCTCCTGGCTTGTATTAAGCCATCGCTTGCTGGAAGCTATAGTGAGGAAATAATGGCAAGTCAAAGATAACGGTCATTCAATGATCTTTTTTCTCACAAATGAATCACATTGTAAGATTTAAAAAGGAAACAGTCATTTGAATGGAAGATAGGCCTATTAATTTGATACGGTTTCAAAGAATAAATGGATGAAAGCTGAGGTTAACGACTAAAAGAGGTGCCTGCTTTTATAGGGTCCATGAAATTTTTTTTTTTTCTTACAGGAACATATATATTGTTCAACTTTCCTTAAATGTATGAAAACTACATTTAACATCCGTTTTGGTTCATTTTATTGACAAGTGCACTTCTTTATTAAATGTTACAAATTGTCCATGTTTTTCCAGACAACAGAGAGCGCTGTTGCTAGTATGTCATTTCAGGAAGACTCTATTCATTTTGTGGGATTTCTGTTCAACTTGTGAACCCAAACAATTTGCTCATAGAAAACATCTGTGAGAAAAGTTTGCTCACTGGCTTGCTGCCATGTACTGAAACAACAAGTAAAATTTACAACAGCAAAATATCCCAAATTCTGGCAACTTTTGGTGCTGAAAATATCTGTAACATTGAGGTTTCTGCCTGAAATGACGTCACACTTTTGCTCATGAATATGGAAATGTGCATAAAAACCAAAAAGGTACCATAAGATAGGCCTATATAACCCTTGAAAATGGCAAAACAAAACTTGAAAATAAATTTTAAATGGGGATACAAAGACGATGAATTGTGCACTGAAAGATATTACATTACATGGCCTTTAAATGTACATGTATACATGGTATATGTTACTTTTTTCATAATGATCAAACCAAATAATCTACACAATTTCCTACTTAACAAACCATTTTTCTGTATGACTTGGCCTCCAATGTACATTCGCCTTACTAAACTGCAAACTCTGCAGGCATCAGCAGAAGTCATGGCCATTCAAAGCAGCCAAAACCAATGTCTCTGAGCTCTTTCTGTGTTCAATAAAAAAAAATACATTCTGATGATCAAAAATATAACATTAAAAATTAACAAAATCAACACAGTCATGACAGCTGATTAGCCATGGAGCTTGAGTAACTCCAGCTGTAGTCCAACCATAGCTCCATGGTCCCACTATAAACTGGGACGCTAGAACTCCTCTTTTGGCATTTGGGATGTTGGTCGTACAGTGCAGACCTACGAATACATCCCAAAATATCAAAAGAGGGGTTGCACTTTAGCGACCCAGTTTATTGGTTTACATGTAAGTGGGACAAGCTACTCCAGCTGTGGTAGCCCCATAAATGTGGCCTATTTACTGGACTGCCTCCGTAAACATAGGCCGCACATCCACATGTACAAAAAACGTGTCGACTTTGCCAAATTTTGATTTTCACATTTAGGCTTACTTTTTACGTTTTTTTTGCTTTAGAAGCATTCTCACCCTCTATATAGGCTAATCAGAAAGTGCTGCCTTTTTCAGATGTCCATTTTTCGTGAAATTTCCGGATACATTTGCACACGTTTGCGTATCAAAATTGCAACATGAAATTTCACAAAAATTAAACATCTGAAAAAGGCAGCACTTTACATGTGGATGTACACATGTAAAGTACATGTGGATGTGTGGCTAGCTGGAGTTACCCAGCCCTGAGTTTTATCATTGGGTTGTCTATAATTCCTTCCTCCATGATTAGACAACCCAATGATAAAACTCAGGGCTGGGTAACTCCAGCTAATGTGTGGCCTATGTTTACGGAGGCAGTCCAGTAAATAGGCCACATTTATGGGGCTACAGCTGTGGCACCTGTGCTCATCAGATGTCAGCCGGCCCAGTTGTGATCGTTAACATGTGGAAAGAAAACCGACAACCTTTACTTTGATTTATGGATGCATACGCTGTAGCTATGGCCTACACTCTTTTAAACATACGGGATTTGGCCCCGTGGATACAGATGATACTCAACTCAGACTGTCTTAGCCTACAACATGTACAATGTCATGCTGCCGCTGAAATTCGAAAAAGTGCAGCACGTATACAGGAAGTTAGGTGCTCGGAAGGGCGCCACTAGCGTTAGGTAGGTAAAACAGAATTTGCTCCATGCACTCGACGTGCAGGGTGCGTTCGTTTAGCTCACCCGTGTCGACACGGGTAAAAGCAGACAGCCGGCGGGGCTGATCGAACGCTCACCCGCGGGCCATCACGATCCTCACGTGACGCCCTTGCCTTAGCCTAGCTGTGGCCGTAGCCACTGACAAACGCCCATTTCGGATTGGGTGTTAGTTTGAGATTTATTGCCTTTTATTTTAGTCAATTGCAAAACTCAAAAACGTTGGGGTGAAATTGTAGTCTCAAAAGTCGCAATGAACTTAGCCTTTTGCCAAGGCCATCGTGGCTTAACTTAATTGCCATCATTTGACAAAGCGGCGAAGCCGCGAAGCGACTGGAGCGGGAGACCACACACACGAGTGGCGAAGCCACGAGGGTCTTTTCCAATTTGTCAAGAATTTCTTATGTTTTTCTTTATTATCTCGATTTTTGCTACCCCAAAAGGGTAGCAAAATTCCAAACGATCGGAAACGACTGAGTCAGCGTTCAACAAAAAACCGCAAAACCGCAAAACCAAGTTCGAAAAGGGCTACGCCACTCGTGAGTGCTGACTTAATGTTTGCTCCAGTCGCTTAGTGCTTTCGCAGCTCCGCCGCTCAAAGCCACGATTGCCTTGGCGAATGGCTACAATGAACTCAATAAATGACTTCCTTTTTTTAGACCATCAAAATAAAGTCAACTTTCAAGTCCACTTGCGGTTTCCGCTGTCCGGTCGTGTTTTTGTCCCGTTTCTAAGAATGCAATGAACAACGCACAACTATTCTTGTTATGAGCAAGAGGTTCTGCATGTAAACTGATTGCATTCATAATTAATGCTAAACTAATGCAGATTTCTTTTTCAAAGCGAAAAACTTGAATCCAGTTTCAACGTTTGAACAATTTCAGGACAGTTGAAGACTATAAATCGCCGCTTGAATCTTTTGTTGCATTGCCCGGTTGCTGCCCGCCGTCTCCGCTTTCCGTAATAACTACGTGTATACTTGTACTTTGAAATCTCATTGTGCTACTACTTTTATTCGCTCGTACCCCCCGCCGGCCCTGCAAACAGGACGCTGGAAAGGGCTGACGAATTAATGGTCTGATTGGATAGATTTTGCGTGACCTGCAAGTCATCACGACCACGACCCTGCAAGGTTTGAACCGGCCGTTAAGACTGAGTCATTCATCACTCTTTTCTCATTCATAAATGCGGCGCCCTTTTTTGGTTGAAAAGCATAATAATGTAGGAAAATCTGTAAAACTTAGCTGTTTTGTAAATTTTCAACTCCCGTCAGTTGCCCACTCGATCCGTTTGGCAAATTCACGAAGCGTCGAAATGCATATCATTCGACGCTCGAAATTTGTCCACATTGGTCCGCGATATGAAAAAGAAATCACATCCGGTATGGTGTGTTTGCATTTCTATGGCAAACTTTTTCGGATAGTATTTGTGCGCATTGGCTAACCGACGTAGGTCCTGATAAATTACCCAGAATGCCATCCCCACTTCCTTCACAAGAATCTGTGAAGGGCCTTCCCAGCGCCGTGTTTGCAGGGCGCCGGGGGTGCGGATATTTTTTTACACAAGTTGAAAAAAAGAGCAAAATCTAAATGGGCAGAGCGACGAATCGAACTCGAGATCTCCGATCAGTAGCCAGCATGCCTAACTAACCACTAGGCAACGGCGGTGCTCGACCAAACCCGCAATTCACTTTCACACATGTGGAGAGAGTACACGCGCGCGTAGGTAAAAGCATGGAGGTAGAATGTTACAGGATTGTAACCTATAACCGTGATTCAAGTCGCCTGAAAAATGGGTACCCTGTACAATTGTGTAAATAAAATATTCGCGGGCGGGGGTACGAGCGAAGACGTTGTTCATGACAAGTCCGTGGTTGGTTGGTTGATTGATATTGGTTGGTCGTGATAGCGCCCTCTCGCGGCGGCTGGTATTGCGACGTTGGGTTTCAGTATCAAACCATAACGACGTCTAGCCCCTAGACTGCTGAAATGCTTGAAAGTTGCCGTAATGGAGACACTGGCGATTTTGCGTACCGTATTTTTGTGGTAACACAAGCATTTTTTTTTTTTTTTTTTTTTTTTTATAATCGTGTGTTCAATCACCGTCCATCTGTGCTATAGTCAGCGATTCAAAAATAAACAACCATGATAACCATTGGTTTGCCTTGTCTGCCGGGAACGTCAGAGTCAGTTGTCCATATTTTATTGCAGCGTTCATGGCCTAATAATGTCTACTCCCTTTTCCCGGCTGCTTCAAATTCTTATATTAAGTCAATGCCTGGCGCTTTCCCTTCCTTCAGTTGTTTGAAGGCCGAAGCCATCACGTATTATTTCTGGTTCTGTGCTTGTGGCAGACCGTCCGTGGTCTCCTGGAGGTTGACTGGATGTCCTTCATATTGTAAAGCTCCTCATCCAGCGCTCCTTTACTTCACTTTGATATGTAAGAACTTACTTGCCCAGGCTGGTTTTTATGGATTCCGTCCACTTCTTTGGACTTGGAGGCCTGATGTGCGCCTTCTTAACATCTCTGTATAGATTCTGAATCCATTTGTCTTTACATTCTTTTGTTTTGTCTTAAGGTCTATGGTACTTGGTCAGGTAGTTATACATGGGCTTTAATGTATTATTTATTTTTTTTAAATCAACTTTATTTAAAGTCTCAAGGTATTCAATTATATTTGGGACTTCAGAGGCTATTATAATTCCAACCTAACTTCTTGTGGAGCTATGCAATTGACTGAAAACAGTTAATTTCAACTAATATTAGGCCTAGACCCAGCACGAAACGGGCGCAGTGGCCACGGCCGCGGCTACGGACATAACATCACGCGAATCGATCCGGCTTAGCTACTCGAACGCGTACGCATTTACCTACTCAGCGCTAGGGGCGCCCTTCCTCATAGCCATTAATATTTTTTAATAATGACGCGGTCGTGTTTCATTGGTCACTGTACAAAAAGATACCCAGTGTCCGATCTACATGTATGCATTACTATACGATCTTTGGTTACATGCAAATGCTGTAGAAGGAAATAGAGCTCCGCAATGGCGTCGTTGACACGGCAGACGTCATGAAAGACTTGTCACTGAGTATTTTCTTCATTTCACTCCGGCGTGATCATGATCAATTAGGCTGACTTTACGTCCTTACACTGTTTCGAAACTCTTACTGTAGTTATGGCTGGTTCTTCTCTTCCTAGATTCGTCAGCGACCGAGCAATTACAGGCAACCCATCACTTTGTAAACGACTGTTCAGACAGCGGTTTACCAAAGCCAAAACACTGCACAGTCGCAATCTTGTGGGCCATTATGGTTGTGTAAACGCCATAGAATTCAGTAACAATGGTGGGCAGTTCCTTGCTTCGGGTGAGTTTAATGCATTTGCGACACATATGACATAATGGCGGTGCATTGGGAATTATGTCATTTATTGTGTGATGTTATTTTTTTTTTGTGGTAATGGTAGGCCTATATGGCTAGTCCGAAAATTTGGGACTCTCAGTCTCAATACTGTGTATGAGAGTCCCAAAACTTAAGGTATCCATATTGTGCAAAAGTTTGTGCTGCATAATAAAACCAGTGTGAATCAAATGTGCAAGCTTCTTCTTACTCACTACAGTTTCTTCAATAATCCCCGAAACTTCTGCCATGCAAAGTTGCTGTTGTGAGCTTTGCATCACCAAAAATTCAGCGTTTAATTCTAATTTTGCAGGGAGTTATCTAGCCCCATAAATGTGGCCTATTTACTGGACTGCCTCCGTAAACATAGGCCACACATCCACATTTACAAAAACGTGTCGACTTTGCCAAATTTTGATTTTCACATTTAGGCTTACTTTGTAGTTTTTTTTGCTTTAGAAGCATTCTCACCCTCTATATAGGCTAATCAGAAAGTGCTGCCTTTTTCAGATGTCAAATTTTTGTGAAATTTCATGTTGAAATTTTGATACGCAAACGTGTGCAAATGTATCTGGAAATTTCACGAAAAGTGGACATCTGAAAAAGGCAGCACTTTCTGATTAGCCTATATAGAGGGTGAGATAGCCCGACTGCGTCTGGCCGTACAGTACTATCGCAAGCTCTGTAGTACGGCCAGACGCTGAATGCTTCCAAAAAGACTGAATTTTTTGGGCCGCTGATGTAGCGATTTTGCTACATCTTTTAATCGAGATTATCTTCTCATCCAGGACAAAAATGTCCACAGTTAAGGTTCTTAGTCGTAGAGCAACTCATACCTTTTCGAAAAAACGTTCTTTGGTCTCAATATTTTCATCCATCTGGCCAAAAGACGACTTTCAGTCATCATCTTCCACAAATATCGTCCCGAAAATGCTCCCCCGTGCGATTTCAAAATGGCGGCCGCGCTGTAACTCATGAATATGCATGAAAAGTCTGTGACGTATGACCTCGTGTTTTTGGACGTGCGTGCGGCGGCGCCGTACGTACATACATGTAAGTACATGTACATTACTTGTAGACAACAGCCCATGTACGTGCATATGCACACCGCCGCGCGGACGTACGTGTGCATGCACGTACTGGGCTGTAATGTACATGTACGTACATGTACATGTACGTACATGTACGTACGGCGCCGCCGCACGCACGTCCAAAAACATGAGGTCATACGTCACAGACTTTTCATGCATATTCATGAGTTACAGCGCGGCCGCCATTTTGAAATCGCATGGGGGAGCATTTTCGGGACGATATTTGTGGAAGATGATGACTGAAAGTCGTCTTTTGGCCAGATGGATGAAAATATTGAGACCAAAGAACGTTTTTTCGAAAAGGTATGAGTTGCTCTACGACTAAGAACCTTAACTGTGGACATTTTTGTCCTGGATGAAAAGATAATCTCGATCAAAAGATGTAGCAAAATCGCTACATCAGCGGCCCAAAAAATTCAGTCTTTTTGGAAGCATTCAGCGTCTGGCCGTACTACAGAGCTTGCGATAGTACTGTACGGCCAGACGCAGTCGGGCTAAGGGTGAGAATGCTTCTAAAGCAAAAAAAACCTACAAAGTAAGCCTAAATGTGAAAATCAAAATTTGGCAAAGTCGACACGTTTTTGTACATGTGGATGTGTGGCCTATGTTTACGGAGGCAGTCCAGTAAATAGGCCACATTTATGGGGCTAGGAGTTATCGAAATCCAAACGCGAAACATCACGTTGATGTGTACTGCAATGCATTGTGCAAAAAGACTCCTCAGCTAAAACATTTTCATCGTGTAGATAAAACAGCACCCTCTTGTTGATCTGAGTGAATGCAGAATGGTTCATTTTTTAACAGAGGGCGCTATGTTCATTTGGCCATTGATTAAAAAACAAGTAAGCTGCAAGGCTCTTCCTACACCTACCCAGAATACCTTGGGAATCACACCACCATTTTTTAAGCATGGAGAATGACGTGGATGGTTTTTGAACTGTCAAAAACTTGCCTTAGAATTGGATTTAAGGTCTCAAATTTTGCAGGTGACATGCTTGCAACTTAATTCTGACGTGAAGTTGCAACCTGACGTGAGTCAGTATTTCATAGTCCTAATCCTAAATTCACAATGCACTCATCACAGCTGCATCGCTACGCATCATCGCACAGATGGAGTTGTTATGTCTTACTCAAAACTAAATCAGGCCAACTTGACTCACTCTTTAGCCAGCAAATTCTCCAAAATTGTCATTTGCCAAAGAAAAGATCCTCAGTATTTCACCAACCAAGTTTGAGGAAGACTTTTCTTCAATATTTTACACATAACAAGTTACCGGTATGAGGCGAAAGACTAGACTGGTACATGTCCAACCATGGTCCAACTGTTTGAAAACTGACTTCTTCATTCATTTTCATTAGTCTGGTGGCTGACAATAAAGAAATGTGTAGAAATAGAGAGCAGTACCTGACATCCTAGATATTTCTTTTGGGCACAGTTGATTGATGCAGCACTGAAGGGTTGTTGGACTGGTTTTTTCAGGTGCCAGTCTATTTTCTTGTATTGCATGTTTTCAATACGTAAAGTTTTGGGACTCTCATACACAGTACTGAGAGTCCAAAATTTTCGGACTTAAGAAATATTTATCCCACGTAACACTGTACCCCAACAGGAGGAGATGACCGACGCGTCTTACTCTGGAATGTCCAGGAGGCCTTGTCATTGGACAAGAAGTTTGAGGTGATGATTGGGGAGCATCATTCCAACATCTTCTCGTTAGCATTTGACAGTCACAACAGCAGGATCTACTCGGGAGGAAATGACGACCAAGTGCTGGTTCATGATATGCAAAGGTTGGTCTGAATACAATGAAACGCCACCAGAGTTGAGGAAGGCTTCCTAAATGCTTTAAAAATGTACTGCCATGTAGCATTTAATTGCACCTTCTTTCTTCATGTTCTTCTTTGAAAGAAATTGTACTGAAAGTATCGAAGGGAATCATGTTGAAAAGCAATTGTTGCTCGGCTGTACCTGCAAAATGTACCGGTACTCACCTTTGGCTGTAACAAAGGGCACGTTCAATAGTGCAATTCGCATGCCAGTATGTACCCTGTACATGTACCTTCACCATTGATGGTATGCAGGGATGGCATATGTTTTGCGCTATTGAACGCGCCCCTGTTGAATTTGGAAGGAATTCTGGGGGTTAAGACACTGTAAAGTCTCCAATGACAGATAGAAAGTAATAAGGCCGTTGCTTTATAGTCCTGGATCTGCAAAGCCAGTGGATGGATCCTGGTGGATTTTGGGTAGTTAGGTTCAAGGACTAAGTTTCTTTTAACCCTAACCCACCTCACTCCTCCAAAATCCTCCTGGCAGTTTTGGAGGATTCTAGAGGATTGAGGATGAATGGTGATTGAATCAAATGATGATTCTGGAGGATTGAGGATGAATAGTGATTGAAGCACATGAGGATTTTGGAGGATTGAGGATGAATGGTGATTGAAGCACAAGAGGATTTTGGAGGATTGAGGATGAATGCATTTTGAGGCAGGACTGTCTGATGATTTTGAAGGATTTGGCGTTGGTTATCCTTCATTTAAACACGAGTGCAAAGTTTTGGGATGAGGAGGATATTGGAGGATTGAGGATGAATGCCGAATTTGAGGCAGGACTGTCTGACAATTTTGAAAAATTTAGGCGGAGTTGCAAAATTTTGGAGGATTGAGGATGGTTGTAAGCAACAAGGGCCTAGGGGGTTAGGGTTAATACTCGGAATCAAAAGGAGCAATGAAGAAACTGTTAGACATCTGAATGTTTGGGGATATTCAGAGAGGGGTTTTGATGAAAGCCATGGGAGTAAGGTGGAAACTTTATGCATAGTTCCTGCCTTTGACAAGTCAGTGTGCTAATTGGTATAGTTGTGAAAACAAGCACAGATATTCTTTGATACGTGACGAGCCAAATCAGATATTGGGTCACTTTGTCATCGCTTAATTACGCTGATTAGCCTACCGGTAGTTGTGACTCAACCCATCAAAATGAGGGACAAGTCACGAAGGGTAGTTTTCAAGTAATTTGCCTTTAACAAATGTAATTAGGGGCCTTTAAGAACAAAATCTAAAGGAATAGTCATTATTTTCAACCACGTAAGTATCTGTATTCATATAAGATGTCAAACTTCCCAGTAAGTGATATATATAGCATGCAAATTAAATACTTGTTTCTGCAAAAACCAATAAGTTGTAAAACAATAGCCCTAAAGACTCCTTTCATGGGATCCAGTCACAAGTATGCTAATTGGGCTATGAAAACTGAAGACTAAAAAAGGAAGACTCTTTTATGTACAAATGTATACACACAGAATTAATAATGCAGAATATTATGTAGACAACCGTTACTCTATATTTTCTCAGGAAGGACACTGTTGATGTATTTCTCCATGAAGACGCTGTATATGGCCTAGCGGTTGATCCCAGAGACAGCCACATCTTCACTAGTGCGTGTGCTGACGGTCGTGTCTTACTATGGGATACCAGAGTACCTAGTCACCAAGGTAACATTACAAACAAACACAGTATTTCTGAGGTTAGTGTCAATCAGATTTACAACAGTTCCCTGTCCCCTCATTACAAGGCTGAGAACAGTTCTGCATATTGATCTGTGCTTAATCTGTACTTAGGCCAAAACAAAAATAAGTCGGTCTCTGGTCAGCGCGCGCGTCGATTTTAATCATGCACGTCAATCTTTTTTTTTCCAAAATGTTCCGCGGTAGCTTCCAACAGCGCCCTTTATTTCCGCACCTCCTCAATTTTTTTTACCAAAGAGCACCAAGGAATGGGAAATTGCACCAAGGCAAAGGATCGAAAGCACTAAGGCAAATTATGGAGGACACCAATGTACATGAGGACACCAAAAAAGCAAAAATAGTACCCACCTTGTCTGTACAATCCAAGCTTGAAGAAAAAAAAAAAAAGCCAAAAAAAAAAAAAAAGCCCCGTGGCCGCGTCAATTCCGGAACTTTGGTCTGACCAGAGACCGAATGGTTTTTTTTTTTTGGCCTTACACAAAATTGTTATACATGTATGTAATGTGTCAAGGTTAGTGTTATTTTTTGGTTTCGACCAGTAACATGTCAAGTTTGTACCAATGAACATACAGTAAACTCCGGCTAAACCGGCACTCTCGGGATCCGAGAATTTGTGACGACTTACGCAAATGCCGATATCTGCTGTAGGTCGTCATTTTGCCGACTTACATGAGTGGTCTTTTGCATGCATGATTCATTGCACTAATTGGCTTTGATTTACCCTGGATTATCTCCTTAATGCTTGAGTTGAATCCAGCAAATTAATCCTCCAATTGTACATTACGTTTGGGGTATGGATAGTGGAGACCAGATCACGATACATATGTACGTGCACAGTAACTTATTTAAATGTGTGCGTGGTCTGGTATATACCACGCACGCATTGACTGCAGCACTAGTCATTCAATAAGACGATCCCCAAAATCGACAGAGCGCATGCAATACAGCCTAGAGGGGGTACTGGTATTGATATGCTCACGATGCATATGCGATGTATACAGTAGGACACCCTTTTTCGACACCGATGCATGGAGCGATCATAGGCCGTGCGAAACCACTTTTCACTTGAGACTTTGCCAACCGCAGTACAGGAAGTCGATTCCCAATGCGTGATTTGTTGAATACCAACTTACACAAAGGATTTTGTAATGCTTTTTATGGAAAGGGGACCGAGAGTAACACGACGACTTGAGCGAAATGGCGACTTATAAAAGCCGACTTAGAAATAACAAATTCAATGGAAATGCATTACGGACAAATCGGAACTTTAGTCAGACGGCCGACATGAGTGATTTGACGAGTTGTACGATGTCGGTTTAGCCGGAGTTTACTGTATATCATTACCCATCCACTCCATTAACCCTAACCCTCAATCCTCTAAAATCAACTAAGCGGTTTTTTTGGAGGATTTTGGAGGATTAAGGCTGAATGGCAAAAAGTGTCTGTTCAGTTTGAAGGATGCATTGCATAAGATGCTGTACCCTGCATTTTTTATATTCAGCCATGCATAATTGACGAAGTGTACAATTTTTGTTTGACCTCAAGGATGTACATGTGTATGTATGATGCCCTCATCTTTGGTTTGTGTGTTATGTGTCCCTCATGTGTAAAAACACCATTTTCTACAACAAACATTTTTAATAAGCCTCTGTACTGATGACGTCACACTTTGTTTACGTGTGTGCTTTCCTATGGTGCTCAGTGGACCGTGGGCCCCCACTGGCTCCATAGGAAAGTGCACATGTAAACAAAGTGTGATGTCACCAGTACAAAAGCTTCTTGCAATTTTGTGAGAGAGTTTTAATAGAATTTTGTTTTCATTTGTCTTCTTGACAGAGCCGATTGTGATAGCAACCTCCCAGACAGCTTTCTATGCTGTAGTGTACCATCCTGTGGAGCCTGAGTTCATAGCCACTGCCAATTCCAAAGAAGGTGTGGCATTATGGGATATCCGAGCGCCTGGGAGGTCAGTTATAATAACAAATTTTAAGGTTAATTTTGTGAGGCCAGTGGGCTCCATTCAGAAATAAGGCTGTGTAAAATCAAACTTAAGGCCAAAAAAAAAAATAAGTCGGTCTCTGGTTAGCGCGTGTGTCGATTTTAATCATGCGCGTCGATCTTTTTTTTTTTTTTTTAAATGTTCCGCGGTAGCTCCAACAGCGCCCTCTATTTCCGCACCTCAATTTTTTTTTACCAAAGAGCACCAGGAATGGGAAATTGCACCAAGGCAAATGATCGAAAGCACCAAGGCAAATTATGGAGGACACCAATGTTCATGAGGACACCAAAAAAGCAAAATAGTACCCACCTTGTCTGTACAATCCAAGCTTGAAGAAAAAAAAAAAAAGAAGCCGCGTGGCCGCATCAATTCCAGAACTTTGGTCTGACCAGAGACCGAATATTTTTTTTTTTTTTTGGCCTAACACCACAAAAAAGAAAGTCCACACTCATTGGAGGGGTCTTAAGTTTGATCTGATCCTCTTTTGAAGACGTCATTTAGACCTTTTGGGGAAATTTGTAAGGTACATTTTGATACACCATTTGCTATCGAAGACTGTAAATCGTCCAATATTGACAACGGTTTAATATGAAAAATGATGCAGGTTGAAAAGTTGCAAATTTAGAGGATTACGCAAGTGGAAATTGCAGCATGACAATGTTACACTGCCCAAAATGAATGCCAGGGAATATCGATCGCACAGTGCTTGCATGCATAGGAGCACTCGGGCTATTCAAATGACCCGCACTTTGTTCAGGCGCTGTGCAATCGATAGGAGCCAATTATGGGCATGTGTGTTTGGTTACGCTGAGCAATTTCTCATCGCGTAATTTTTTTAATTTGCAACTTTTCCAATTGCATCATTTTTCATAAACCGTTGTCACTCTTGGATGATTTATAGTCTGTGGTAGCAAACGGGCTATCAGAATGTGGCTATATACACGTAAATGATGTCTTCATATTAAAGATGATCAGATTCAAAATTATGACCCCTCCAATGAGTGTGGACTTGTTTTTTTTTTCGGTATTTAGTTTCTCATCCGGGGTTTTTGAAAAAATGAAGGAGGTGAGCGGTTTTTTTTTCCCCCCCAATGTGGCCGATAATCTAAGATGGCGGAAGGATTCTTCCATTCTCTCAACTCTTTTGCTGATACGAAATTGTGTCCAAAAGAGCCGTAACCCTTTCTACAAAGCTAAAGTTTGGTTGGAAACAAATAAGAAGACAGTATATTAACAATATATTTGCAAAACATAATATTATTGCAAATGTATGAATTAAAAAAGGGAAAAAAGTGGGCGGCCGCGGGTAGAGAAAATGTTTTTTGTTTTTGTACTTGGCCTAGTAGATGGCACTGTGTGGCAACTCACAAAGTGTGCATGACCAATTTGTATGTGCACTAAACCTATGTCTTTTTTTGCTTGGCAGTCAGGCACGTTGCAGTAGGGCATTGTTCATCTTATTTGTGTTCACGTTGAGAGGGGGAAATTTTGCAAAGAGTCCACAAATATGATTCTTTATGCAAGATTGCAGGCCTGATGAAAAAAAAGGAGTGTTGTTATTTTTAGACAATGAGATTCAAGACTCTGGATTGAAAATAATGCAGGTAATATAAAAAGACAGTGATTTTATGTACCGTACTAAACGTCGGCCTAAGCTTCAGATTCAGCTTTGTGGTTTTAGGGGCCTACATTGACTGAATCCAGTTTAGTATTGAGAAATTCTTGCCAAGACACATCCAATCTTTCAAGGCCAATGTTTAGATTATTTCATTTTGTTGGAAGGCCTTAAAATAGTGTGAAGTCAGAGATGAAATTGTTCGGATATCTCACAAATGTCAACAATTTTAAGGCACAATCTACTCCCTCGAGTTAACTAAATTGTGTAAGCCTCGATATTTTGAGTACGTGGAAACGTTTTTATTTAACGCTGATTAGTCACCATGCTCACCACATAAACAAGGAAGACGTAAGCCCTTTCAGGATTACAGTATCACTGGATTACTGGATTACAGGATTACAGGATTTCCTGCTTTCATTAAACATTTCCAGCACCACTTTTTTTTCTTGTATCTTGTGTGTACGTCAAAAGTCCGGCAATTTTATGTCCTTGCCCACTTAGGCCACTTCTAGACGCTGTGTTACTGCCGTGCCGAACTCAATTAATCTGACTTTTTGAATTGGGCACAGCCATTGCACGGCGATAGCACGGCGATAGCATGGCATTCAGAACCCTTTGGCTCGGTGAATTGAGTTTGACAAGGCACCATCCTTTAGGGCGACAGGGCAGCCGCCCTATCGTCGTTCCGAATGGCAGTGGCATGGCACTGTTCTGAATGCCGTGCCGAACTCAATTCAATTCGAAGTTGGGACATATATTTTACAGGCATGCAACTTTTCCTCGGATCCGTTGATTTCCTCGTTTCTTACTTCTCATGAATGCCATTACAAATTGTGTGGTTTGGAATTTCCTTGTTTTTCCCCAATTCCCAGTTGCATGCCTGACTTTAGGAATGCGCATGCTCACAATACCCTCTCTCGCGTCTGCATCATGGGGAGTGAAATTAGCGCGAATAGTTTGATCGCGCTGAAAGTTCATTGAACTGCTTTGACCTGGCCCATTACTCCAGATGCATTAACCCTAACCCCTTGGGTATATTTACTAGAAAGTATCCTGAATCCACCAAAATCCATCAATTTTGCCATGCAAAAAAAAAAATTGTGGCCAGTGAGTCCATCAGAATCCACCAGTTAGCTGGGAGTAAATCAGTTGAGATCCTGAATCCATCAAAGTCCCCAAACTGCTCAAGATGGAGGTATCCTGAATCCATCAAAATCCTGCAGTACCGCTAGGCCTCATGTCCTGAATCCATCAAAATCCCCAAAGTTTTTCAATATGTAGGTATCCTGAATCAGCCGAAATCCCCCAAAACAGGGGTGTGGATTTTGATGGATTCAGGTACATTAGGGTTAAGGTTCGACAACTACGTTCGGCGTTTAGAGTAGTGTTGTAGACAAGCTATTGCCGCACTCACTTCAATTTAGCACGGCGTCTAGAACGGGCCTAACATTCCTGTAACAATGAAACTTTGTTTACTTCTCTATGGTATTATTGATTTTTGGTTTTACACATTTTTTTTAGCTGTCTAGTACGCTACGGCAGCACGTACACCCAACAGAGTGCCATGAGTGTACGCTTCAACCAGCTCGGAACCAGACTAGTTGCACTACGCAGGCGCCTGCCTCCTGTTGTCTATGACGTTCATAGCAGTGCTGCCGCCGTGCAGTTCAACCACTCCGGTTATTACAATTCCTGCACCATGAAGAGTTGTACCTTTGCTGGTGATAAAGATCAGGTAATATGAATCAGGATTAACGTTTCAAGCTGGATAATTTGAAATTTCAAGGTTTACACTTTACAGGTTCGTTTGCAAAATCTAAGGAATTGAAAAGGGCCTCGTCTATACAACATTGGCTTTTGCTATTATTTTCAGAAATGGATGGATTTGGGGGGTTAGTATTTTATAGCAAATATTGTTACACTGACTTGTTTGAAGTAAATGTGTTCGTAGATGTGGGAAAAACCAGAAGAAAAAAAACAATCATGTTCCTGTAGTCTGGTTCCCCGACCCCACTTAAGAGCAATTTATAGACATCAGGGAATGCTGAGGTCAAGTAACTAGACTGGCTTGTACCCGTTCATAAGTGCGTAACCGATTGAAAACAGAATGCAGACTAACTAAATGTGGTAAATTGGGGCAGTATTTGAAAAAAAGCCAGTTTAGTATTGCTGCATGAGGGTAGGGGGGTTGCGTGTGGCTGATTTTGGCAATCATGCTGTGGAGTAGAAAATTGTTATGTCATGATTAACATAAAAAATAATTGTGACATGAAAATGTGCTCATGAGTCTCATAATCATCAAAATGTCCTTAGATGATATGATATCCCCTACATACCCAGAATACCCAGCATACCACCCTCCCTGTAACAATCAAATATGACATCAGTGTCATGGCCTAGCGGTTAAGAGCACCGGACTCATGCTCTGGTGTTTCAGAGACAGCAGTGGCGTGGGTTCGAGCCCGCCGGCGAACACTTGTGCCTTTAAGCAAGGCACTTAACCATTATTGCTTCGTCCTTCGGATGGGCCGTAAAGCCGGAGGTCCCGTGTGTTGTGTAATGCAATGCACGTAAAAGAACCCAGTAACACTTATCGCTAAGAGAAGGGGTTTGCCCGGTGTTTCTGGCCTCCTAGTTATACTCCTTTGTGGAAGTCCTACAGGAGAAGAACCAACCAAGTACCAAGTACATCAGTTTCAGCAGAATTGATGTTTGATTGTGTCTTTTTCTTGTTTCAGTATGTTTTGTCTGGATCCGATGACTTCAATCTGTACATGTGGGAGGTTCCTGAACCCAGTGAGGATGGTAAGTCGTTGGGTGTGGCTATACGCCATGTCCCTTATACGTATACAGCCAAACTGTTGTAGTGGAAATTTGAGTAAGCCACACATTTTATGATAATTTGCAATACTTTATTGCTTGATTTGTCAAAGGTTGTTAACTTGTTTTTTTATAGAAAATGTGCACAATTCAGTTGGAAAATGACGATCTTATTAACTTTGTATATCAGTCATCTTATTTGTGCAGTAAAGGAATACCGACATTGACTGCAGGAGCTTTATCATGTTTATTATTAGCAAATTTATCAGGTATTCCACACATTGATCTCTCTTTTCTACATTCCAATCTCTTTAGTGATGTGGGTTGACGAAGCCAAGCTAGTTTTACAAGGTCATCGCTCCATTGTGAATCAAGTGCGATTCAATGCCTACACACACAACATAGTATCCTCGGGCGTTGAAAAAATCATCAAGGTGAGATTATTGTCATTTTTATCTCCTCAAGTTGAGTGACCTTCCAGCACTCAGAGCCGGTTCCGGGCATGCCTGCAGTAGAGGAGATCATGTGTTTACTCATCACTCCGGTCACCAGAGTCGAGCTTTCTCAGCCCGCCTACTGTAGCTAGCTAGCTGGCACTCATGCATGCGCCGCGTTCAGTGTACATAATTGTGCACAGACTGTTGTTATAATGTCACTGAATGGGCATGCGTGAGTACCCCGCTTGTTGCGGGGTGTGTGGGCTGAAAAAGCTTGACTCCTGTGACCAGTGGATGAGTAAACATGTGATCTCCACTGTACTGTGGGCGTGCTTGGAACCGGCTCCGAGTGCTGGAACCGGCTCTGAGTGCTGGAACCGGCTCCGAGTGCTGGAACCGGCTCTGAGTGCTGGAACGGGCTCCGAGTGCTGGAATCGGCTCTGATGGATCCCGGTACAGGTACAACTACCTGGCTCCGAACGTGTTCGCAGGTGCAGTGCATCATTCTACATGGTCGGCCGTCGGCGCGGTAATCATAGGCAAGGAATAGAAAATAAAGTAATGAATGCTAAGTTTGCTTTTAATAACACTATATCCATAGTTTCACTGGAAAAGGTCATGTACTTGAAACCAAATATATTGTGGAAACAGAGCAAGGACCTCACAAGGTGACACCATTTACTTAACGTGTAATTTCAAGGGATTATGTTTTTTATTGAATTTTCCGGGAGCACTAGCAAGGAGGATGTCATGGGTTTGAGTCCATGGGTTTGATTCCCACCTAAGTAAGCAGTGGCAAGATCTGGCACATCAATGAATATAATGCAGAAACTCGTTGGCACATTATTGGTACTTGAAGAAGGTATTCAGCCCAATGTTAAATTGCGAGTTGCTGGGCTGTGCCTTGCTTGATCCTGCAAAAGCCTGTAAAACCTCTGGTGAATTGTAAAGGATCTGGGAGGGTTACTGTTAATGACCTTGAAAAGATCTAGTCATCAAATGTTTGTATAACGGATGTTTTATGTATGACGTGATAGTCAAGCTGATTTTCACATTTTGTTTTGCTTTCAGTTGTGGAGTCCATTCAATTTTCCAAATGCCCGATCTGATGAAGACTCGCCCAGGAAAATGTTCTCCCACCAGCAGTACATCGATCTTGTCATCAACAGCGGCACAGCCCTATCCCATGATTACACGGACCAATCCATTGAAGAAGATCCCCGTATGATCGCTTTCTTCGACTCTCTGGTTCAGCGTGAAATCAACCGCAGCTTCAGTGACTCCGATGACAGTGACATGAGTCCAGAGAGCCTGTATCTGCACTTTGCCGGTGAGGGAGATGACAGCGACAACAGCAGAGACACAGAGAGTGGGTCCTCGGTCTCCTCAATTCATGCCTCTGTCATCAGTCGACTGATGGGGGAGAACACTGATACTAGCCCCACATCACAGCTGAGAACTTTGTGGAATCTCAGCACATCTTCCAGAGACCAACCTGCAGCCAGCTTTATAAATGAAGTCGCTGATGATCATGAGAGCAATAGTGACAGCACATCAGACCAGGACTCAAACTTACCAAAGAGAGCCGCACAGCAGGCTCAGAATTGCGCTTCCACGAGTGAGGTGGCAGGCCCTTCAAGACAGGACCAATCAATGGAAAATGGTGATGCACAGAATAATCCGGATGCAAGTGAGACTGCCTCCTCCAAAAGAAAGCGCAGCCGACATAGACCTAGCAGCTCCACAACCTCCCCGGATTCATCAAGCAGCGATGAGGATGTCAACTTTCAGGAATTACGCGCAAAGAGCCGACTTCTACGGAGGTTTCTGATGAAGAAAAAGAGGAAAAGCGGAACAGATGTGGATGATGATCAGCAGAGCTCAGAACTGATTAACAATGACCGATTCATCAACCTCAAGCAACGCATGGCAATCTCTCGAGTTCTCAAAGGGAAGATAGGCAGACCAGGGGACAGGCTTAGTCGTCCTGGCGTTAGAGAAGAGGACTTGACTCGCATCACTGAACACCTGCAACAGAGGAGTATGGCTACCCATCAACGATTGGCAATCAGTCGTATGAGACGTAGACTCCAACAAGAAAATGACGTTGGCATAGGCAACTCACTGGGCGAGAGTAGCCATACAGGCTTGGAGCCTGTCACAAATGACAGCCTACCCCTACCTTCTTCCCTCGAGCTAAATCATGCTTCATGCAGTACAGCTCAAAGAACAACGAATAATGACCGTTCCTTAGCTGTTCCATCGACACAGCTAAACATTGCAACTACTTCATCAACAGCACTTAACTCTGAATGTATGCCAAGTTCGTCCTCGTTTTGTGGAAGCAATATGAACACTAAAGTGTCCAATAACCATTCTGCGAGTCTCAACTCCAATGGAGACAGCTCCATGTTAGCTGGGTGTAGCAATGAAGCATCGTGTTCAAACCACCACTCATTTAGTAGTTCAAATCACATCGTGCCAGAAGAGACAAACGAATCTGAACAGCAGTATGACAATCATCACCTGAATGAATTCCATAAATTTAAAAATCAGACGGCGAGAGCCAAACGGCGGTACAGATCCCACAAAGAGAAAAAAGCCCACGAAGATTCCGACACAGATTAGAGTTGGCACATATCAAACAATCACGGACTGCTTGCACATGCTTTGTGATTGCCTGAGAGAATGAGGATGTGTGTGGAATGTCCAACACCCACATGTAGAGTTGTTCTTCTTCACTTGGTATTGGATAGTGTCTGAAATTCAGACACTATTGCTTAATGCATGTACATCTGCTGTGTGTAAATTTATATTGGTGTGAATTCAGTGAGCCCGCAGCATGTTCACTTTCATAGATCAGGCAAAATGCTCTGTTTCCAAGGAAGTATTCGGGATAAACAACATGGCTTCACATTTGGTCTTGTTTGTTAATTTGTCTAGCAAGTAACAAGTTTCGAATGTGTCAGCCAAACAGAGATTTGTCTCCGTTTCAGAATGGTAGCCCTCAAAGCAAGAAAGATTGAACCAAACATTGTTAAAAATCCCAGTAAAAAGAGAACAACTTGTAAACATTGACAGCTTTTCAGCCTTCCCCTCCCATGGCTTGATGAATACATGTATCTCAATGAAGTGTGCTGATTGTTTGCTATATTTTTGAAAGTACTATAAAAACCATGAAGTCAATTTTGAAAATGTTTAATACCCCTTATCATTGGCCTAAACCCCTATGAGTTTCATTTATTTTCCATCACGCTCGCTACACAACGGTTAACTGATCACAACAACATTTTTGGACACTGTGACCAAGTTCCTTGCCTTAACCAATTTCATTGCTGTGTAAAGTCCTTCATGTTGTAAAAAGGGCTGCGGTTGAGATTGGAATCATTTGCCTGGCTATCAGTCATCATGGCAAGACCTCAGTTTAATGCTCAAGGGCAAATGATTCCAATCCCCAACCACATCAGCTCTGTTTTTCACAACATGAATGATTTTGCACAGCTACCCTGTATATAACAAGGCACTGAAATTGATTAAGGCAATGATCTTGGTGAATGGTCACAGTGTCCAAAAATGTTGTTGCGATCAATTGACCATTGTGCAGTGAGGCGTGAGGGAAAATAAATGAAACTCATAGGGGTTTAGGCCAAGGATACAGAGTATCTGCACAATCAAAAATTTTCAAAATTTACTTGGTGGTTTTGTAGTTATTTTTAACCCCATGGGCACGGGAAGCGGTCATGGCCGCGGCCGCTAATCCTCATTGGAATGCAGTTGCCAGCTGTGGTATGCCGTGGCACACGGCTAGTGGGTAGTTCCACAGCTGCTGCTTTTGTGCAGTCCCGCTACCACACAAAGGCTGTGCAGTCATGCGGGCCACTTGCTCTATGTGTGGAGGAATGTCCCCATTATAACCCGTGCTTAAGGGGTTAAAAAGTAGTCAGATGGACACTTTTTTGGGACATACTGTAGACCAATCCTGGCATGCTGTCACTTCTATCACGAAGGCCCCCTTCAATGGCAAACATTAAGCTAGCTATTGTTCAGATAATCCGTCATGAGGCACAGTAGCTCGCACAATGATTTCTTCATTGAAGTGGGGCCTCGTGTGTACAGTGATCCGTGCCCGGATACGTCGTTCAGCCATGATCTCTGTACATCGCACCCTTGAACAAAAGACACAGGTTATTTATGGCGTCTTTTAATACTGTGAATCATGCACTGCATTTGACAAGACCTTGCGATTATAAGTTGAACGTAGAACTAGCAGCAAGACAATACTGTAGCGTGATCACATTTCTCTCACAGCTCTAGCTGTTTGACAATTTTTCACTAGGATTACATGAAAAGTAATGGACTACCATTTGGGCTCAACTCATGCATGTACATGTACAGTTGAGTCTCGTTAATACAAACTCGTTCGGACCTACCCAACTTGTTTGTTATATCAGAATTTTGTATTAAGAGGAACATCAGTCCCATTCATTGTGCACATAAATGCACAGTCGGGACTGAGGCTATTTGTTTGTTATAACCAGAATTTTGTATTAACAGAGTTTGTACTAACGAGATTCGACTGTATATCATATTCAGTTCATGTCGGGATACGTTTTGAACTATAGACTAATTCAGCAAACAAAATGAGAAGCCAAAGTGGAACCACATTCGCGTGCACAGCGTACTCGTTTTTAAAGACAAGGCGCCTGTGCATTATGGTAGCCCTATTGGTTGAAGGAGCCCGGAGTGTGTGCGTACTGCCTGAGCGCAACTCGTGCGAGCCTGGGCCCAATTTCATAGCGCTGCTTAACAGCCGACTTTGTGCTTACCAAGCGTCCATCTATTTTATAGGGACCGTTAAGCAGTAAGAACAGCAAAAGCACGCTTAACCCCAGAAGAAAACTTTGCTTAAATCAGTGACGTAACAATAGAAATCTCCATGCGCGCACAACCGTTAGCATGAAATAGTGCTTTTAAGCAGCAGCATGATTTGCTGCTATAGTAAGCACAACTTTTCTGCTTACTGTTAAGCAGTGCTGTGAAATTGGGCCCTGGTGCCACCGCAGAAAATGGCTGTCGTCAAGTAAGTCTAAATGCATATCACCCAACTGCATGACTACTTGGCTGTTGGAAGTGTATTGGAAATTCAAACATCCATCCGTGTACATGAATATCATAGAGGCAATACTAGTTTTTACACATACAGATGTAAAAATGAAATACAATACAATAAATTGTGAAATATGTCATTACATGATATATCTGCTATGAAATTTTTCTGTTGGGAACTCCCTTGTATCCAACAATATTTGATATGATTTTTTTCTAAAATCTCAAATCAGACCAGGTCAATTATGTAGTGACATGGTCAATATTGTAGACACAGAAATCAAATGTTTCCTTATAACGTGCTTTTGTTTAAATTGATTGAAATTTTTGTTTCTATTTAACAAATTTTTAACTTGTACGTTTTATTCAAACCAAAAAAATCCTCTCTCTTTTAGGGAAAGAATTAGGACAGAATAATTGTCTGGCAGCCAATAAATTGAAATTGTAAAGTAATAATGCAATAACTAAACATCGGTCAATTTGTTTTAGTCGATGTCTCATTCAAAAGTGATTAACTTTGTAGTGCCAGAAAAATTGCATGTTCATTGCTTCCAAATCTACCCTGTCCCTTGTTCTTTAATCAGATATGAGCTGATCAACATGCTAGCTTTAATTGGTTGAATTAAAACCAAGTGGATATTAATTATCTTTGGTTCTTAAATTTCTTGTTCAGTTCATGATTTAAGGGGGAAAATTAGCCCCTTTTCGGATTGTATGTAGTTAAAGGTAATTTTGAACGTGTCAGATTGATTTACCTCTGCACAGATTATCACAGATAATTACAGATAAAGATACAATGTATACATGTATTGCCGATGATTACAACCCCTCAACCCCCCATACATGCACCGTCACTGTTAATGTTGCGGATCTTATTAGTCAGGTGGCATATGGTCCAAAGCACCAAACATGTCGGATAGATTCATATAGGACTAAAGAAGTTATTTAGAACGGGTGACACCTGAAATTCTTTTGGGAAGGGTGCCTTATTTGCACAAATCGTTAATACCTGCCGTGTAATATATTTATTCCCATATTCGGGTATATTATAATTTTTTTTATTTTTTTTTACTACTACATGTACTTACATAACCTTACTTAAATAACATTTCTAAAGCATATCAGAGATCGGATGATTATGAGGACATAAAGATCAAAAATGGCTACCCTTATACCCTAAAGTTGCGCGCATTAACCTTTTTCTCAGAAGTAGTCTCGCCAAACGTTAGTATTGATGAGCTTCACATTCACAAAGTTACTTACTGGTAAAGTTACAAAAATAAATGGGAAGTCGTGTGAGTAATGATAGAATCTTGATATTTAGCCCAGGAAACAAAAACCGGGGGAACAAAATGAGGTGTCTTTGGGCTAAAAATGAGGCGAAGGGTTGCCTACCCGTTGGACATGTTGGAGGAAATCCGCAATAGAAGAGATTATTTGTTGTTTACAATAACTATGTCTACTACGTCAAAACGTTGTCTTACCAATGATTTGGGGGATTTCCTTGAACTTGTTCAAGTCTCCCACGTTGGGCAACACTTCACCTACTTTTTAGCCCAATTTACGGACACCTCGTTTTTCCCAGTGTTTTGTTTTTTGGAGCTAAATATCACAATGTTATTGTTGTTCACATGATTTTCCATGACGTTTTAATAAGGTAACTGTGCCAGTAAGCAACTTAGTGAATTTGAAGCTCATCAATACTGCAGGTTTAGCAAGACTTGATGATGATATCTAGAGATTAGGTAAATGCGCGCAACTTTAGGGTATAAAACATGTAGTAGCCATTTTGTTACTAAGTCCTCTTTAATTATTCAGTCATTTATATGCTTTGACCAAAAAAAATGTTATTGAAGTAAGGATGTGTAAGTAGAATCACCAAAATATACTTTTCATAAAATAAAATTATACCCAAATATGGGAACAAATATATTACACGGCAGGTATTAACGATTTATGCAAATAAGGCACCCTTCCCAAAATAATTTCAGGTGTCACCCCTTCTAATGGGGCGCCCCCGGGCCCGGCAAACGATATCAAAATGAATTTGGCTCACTGACTCAACGCTGACTACCGCTGCCCCACTTCCCGCCCCCTCGTCCAACCCCCAAACCCCAACTCGGGCACGCACAAGTTGGCAAGTGAATTTGCTCATGATTGCATGGTGTGTAAAAGGAAGCTGATTGATTGGCGCGGCTTTGATGAGGCCCCTTACACCGGTCCAACATTCCCAAATTGTCAAATATTTGTCTTTCGGAGACTGGTTTAGGTTTTCATTTTATTTTCAAAAATACTGCAAGTTAAACTTGCGTGATCCCTCTGGCATGCTGGCAATATTATGCAGACTGCAGTCAGTAAGTACACTTTTCAGTTGACCTAACCAAAATCAACAATGACCTCAACTGACCCCTAAATGACATAGAGCTTTGACTTCGAGTGTCTCAGATCATTATGAAGTCTCCCTACCCAAAGATTATTGTCACCAAGTTTGTTTGAGATTGAAGTCTGACTTTTCATATGACGGCACTGAAACCAAAATGGAACACACGTACGACAGGGGAACAGAAGGAATACACTATCGCAAGGTTCCTCTTTCTTGGCTCATAAAAGCCTAGGGGATAGACATTTACTTATTTTGCCTTAATAGTTAGGGGGTCAGACTAGTGAATAGTCCCAAAATTGCCTACACCGGACAAATCACGATTTGCGTGCCCTCAAATTCTTCGGAATACACTCGAACCCTGATATAAGAAGAGCACTGTTAGTTCAACATCATGCTCATCACACTAGGTTCCAAGTCTGTCTTTTTCTTTGTTTTTCATTACTGATAATACAAGGTAGGCCCTAACTGTTATGACAAGGTAACTTTATAACAAGGTAATTTGTATAAGTCCCATGGACCTTGTTACAAAGGTGCTCGACTGCAGTAAGCATTTTGTGGGCCGTGAACTTGAGGGTTTGTAATAACTTAAAAGGAAAAAAAAAAAAGAAGTGTGGAAGCCGTGCACAGGGTCGCAATGTAAGCTATAGTTCTGTAAAGCTTGGGTGAAATTGGGCCCTAAATGCGCTCTATTTTGCAACGGAGCGTAGGCATCTTTTTTCAAAATGATGGCGATGGGCTTCGATCAGGCCTAGACTATTTTTAGGGGATCATCATCGGATGGAAATTTCTCCCAAAAGTCATTGAAGCAGGCCTACCCTTGAACAGAAAATGAAAGGTGATGAAACAAGCTTTAATTTGATGAGTGTCTTGACCACCTCGGAGAGTTGTGATTATTTTTTAATAATTTTGGCCGGGGGAGGGTGCGAGAGATGGTTAAGGGGGCCGATAGGCCATGATCCGATTTACAGCAAAAAGTTTGAAAAGAAAAAGGAGGGGGGTGACTGGGGTTTGGAAGGAGCTGGTATAGGGCGCCCTATATAGCAGAGCAGGAGCATATAGCTAAATGCCCTTTTTCAGGCCCGATATCCAACTCGGAGAAGCTTGTTAATCGAGTTAATGATCCTTCGTTTTGCCGTAAAAGTGGTTTGGGGCAATACCTTTCTTGTATATAGGTGCACAGTACTAATTGAAGTGAGACATTTCTATGAGAGCTCATTGGTATGAAAAGTGCCCCCAACAATTTTTTTTGGAAAAAGGGAGACCGTTTGGCTTGAAAAAAGAAGGTGGGAAGTTGTGTAAATATAGCCGAGGATCAACTCGGTTTTGGAAGCTTCCAGAGGGCAGACTTGATAACATTACAATTGAAAAAAAGGTTCCCATTTTCCTGAGAAAGTGGAGGGATGTCATTTGAAAAATGGCCTGGGAGATCGAGAGGTACGGGTGAGTTTGTTTTGGTGTAAATATTTAAAAATAAGTTGGCTAATTAACCCACCAAAACTTGAAAAGAAATGGAAAGATGAGGGACAAGACAGTAATTTAATTTTTGTTTGAGAAACCTCAGTGATGTCGGCTTGCATGTTATTTGGCCCGCGGTATTTTGTTATAATTAATTTTACACTGTTTTCAATCGGGCTTGAATTGGTGCAGTACTATGCACCCTTGGCTAGCCAGATCTAGACGTCAGTCTGTGCGCCGCGAGCGCCCCCGACGTTGCAAAATGCTGCAAGAAGAGAAGGGGAAAACGCCCTCACACAGCTACCTACTGTCGAATCAGTCTCATTAGTCTGGCTCCCTAACTAAGCGTACTTGCATGCCTGACAATCAGTTTTAAGGAAAGTAATAATATTTTGGTCAGGGAAGCAGATTTTTTCGTTCTCACTGCCTGCGTTTTGGTTACGGCTAATTTAACGGCAGCGCTTATTGGATACATTTGTGAATCGAAGACACACCCCCGGCCCCAAACTAGCACAATCCCCATGATATGCTCTGTATTTTCTTCACGATGTTAAAATAAAAGCGATTAGCCGTTGCCAAAGCGGTTGGATAGGTATAGCCGGCAGTGCGCCATAATTTGTTGAATTAATTTTTGAAGTTTTTAACAACCAAAAAGCTTTTGTCAGTGCATGAACATATTGATATAAAACTGACGTGTGAACACCAATAAAAGGCAATATCCCAAGAAATTAAACTCGTCCTTTTGGGGGATTTTTACGCATGAATTACTTTGAAAAGAAATGGTATGCATACTGTAACGTAATAATGCATGCTCTGTCATTAAAATTGCAGGGCCCTAATATGGCTCTTGAAATTACATCTTAACCCGACTTGGTAGGGAGAATTTGAATAGAAACATTAAAATGGTAGACAATTATAAGTTTCGTGTGGCTGTATTTTGTTTCAAAAAGATACGTTCTTACAATAATATCGTTAGTTGATAGCCAGCTGTGGAAATTTCTCCGTAATTACTTTGACCATTTAAGCTAGAAGAATTGGATTGAACACAATTTGAAGGCATATATATGCACTCATATAACACAAGTTGGCTGTAGTTTGAGTGGGATTGGAATTTTTAATGAAAAGGTAATGTTTAGAACTCAGTTCAAGAAAATACTCTGAATTTTATGGGGAAAGATTAAAATGTCTGAAAACTTATGAACATGTATAATGTACGGTACATTGTAAATCACGTAAAAACACAAAATGTGCAAGTGATGATCAAATCTAAATTCTCCTTAGTTACTTCCGGGTCACATGGCACACTGGCGTGGCCTTTGCGATTGAACGGTACGAGATTACGAGTGTGGCCGGGTCGCACTTTCGTCTGACAAATTCGCGGCTTTTATTTGATTTGACCAAAATCTCGGAGTAATCCAAAAACTTTCGAGCAGAAAGTTGACAACAACTGCTACCAAAATGAGCCTGGACGAGGAAACCTACATGGAGCAAGAGGAGGATTGGGATCGAAGCACCGTGCTCGATCCCATGTGGGAGATCCAGCAGACGAAGGTAAAATGAAAATGTTGAATTTACAAGAGAAGTGCCAGTGGGCCGTACCCCATACGATTTGTGCATGCGATCGCGAGTATACGGTCCGGTACGTGTGGTACTAAACTGTACAATCATGGTACAATGCATGCATGCTGGCTTGACAACGAATGACCCGGAAGAAACAGCTGCCCTGCCCCTTTTTTAAACATACTTTAAAATATGTACATTGCTTCATAGATTTTTGTTAATTGTATCGAAAGCTGTCACATTTCCACTCGCGATTTTTCCTGTAACGACTGTTGCATATATCGTACGGTAATAACCAGTCCAGGCAGTACTGCCTGGTATGGCATGACTGGCCTGGCCTGCGCCTACAACATCTCTAACATCAAGGAATTACTGCCGTACATGTATCATATCATGATCATGCAGAGCAGGCCGGCCATGCTGGGTTTTTTTTTGGGGGGGGGGGAGGGATTTCTTGAATCTCAAGCTCTGAAACATGTTCTAAATAATAACTGTGTTGTCTTACATTAGCTACAATCATTTGTTTTGTTTTGTTATCATTGTTGTGCCAAATCCTAATAATTTTTCACAATGAATAAGTGAAAATTTGATTTCAGGATTGGCGTAGGCCCTAGGCTATGGAGTATGGGCTACAGTTAGGTTTAGCCAGCATGTTTAGAAGAAGGCCAGACTGTACACCCGTAAACATGGCTACAATATACATCGCCATGTGTCGCTGCCATCTTTATTTGTCTAGACATTCAAAAGCCCGGATTATGAAGGCATTCCATCCACAATTGTGAAGTTTATTGAGCACCATGATCATGCAGAGCACGTCTGCGATCATTCCCAAGAAATTCAAGAAAATATGCAAACCAATACGAAGGTGTAGAATTTTGGTTTATCCAAAATTTCTGAAAGGTCACGCGCGGTCTCCTGAATCCTTTGCGTGCAAAATGGCACGAGCCCTCCAAGGTTCACATGGTTCACATACCTGTTGAATTGCATGTGCATGCTTTGGTCTTGAGACCTAGTCTATGGCCCCCATTGGAGTAAACTCCGAGCCACAGAGTTTACTCCAGTGCAGGCCATAGACTAGAGCTAGTTTCGAGGGTGTTGTCAGTCTCTATATAAAATATGCATTTAGGACTGAGAAACATTTCCAATTTTGTTACAAACTACATGTAGGGTTTTACACAATCAAAAAAGTGGCTTCAATAGCCCAATTTTGTGCCCAACATAAAAAAAGTAAAATTATGCATATTAACTGCAACAATTAGGCCTAAGCCTAGAAATGTGTGTCAAGTGAGCCTCAATCAATTGATATGGATTTTATTGTATTGACAATGACATGCGGTATTCATGTTGTCTACATAGTAGATGTACTACAGGTACCTTGTTGACAGTTCTAGTCTGGGCCAGTGAAATTACAGCATGTTAGAAATGGTGTTAAACAAATAAACCCTGTGGGCACTTAAACGTGTACAGTGTCCTATTTGGTTCAACATTGACAAAGTGTTTGTACTGTACATGTACGTGTACCGGTACACTTGTACAAGCTACGACTTGGACATTTTCAACAATTACTGAAATACTGCACCAATGCATGTGAAATACATTTGCTGTAACATTGAAGTTGAATTAAACTTAATTACATGTATACATGTGCACTATGCAGTACATGTTACCTGTATGTACACACTGTGTACAAGTGCTTGCTTTTTAGACCATGGAGAATCACAAAAAGCAACAAGCAAAATGCCAGTGACAAATGCTTCCATGATGGCACAAAAGGGTTGAACAGCAAATGTCCTGATGTGGTCTGACTGGAATGCATACCATTATGGCCGCATTCAAGCGATCAGTCTCATCAATGCTGATGTACAAAACACACCTACAAATTTATACTGCACTACATGTACCACTTGTTGTTGGGATCCTAACCCTAATTACTTGTTGCAGCTTTTTTTTAGTGTACATTGTATACATGTAGTTGAATGATGTTGTGAGATTTTCTCGAAAACTTTTGAGATCTAGAGTTGATACGTTTGAAGGTTATCATCTCATCATAATGCGCCTATCAAATCTCTCTCCCCCCCCCAAAAAAAATGTGATTGCTCTGAGTAATGCTATTAATTAAAAAAAAAAAAATTCATCATTTTTGGTACTTTTGCACATTTTCACATTCATGCACGTGCGTGTAATAACACTCATTAAGCAGGCAAAGAAGAGGGGGAAAATAGAAAAAGAAAATACTAGAACTGCCAAAACTCTGCACTGTTCACCCAACATTGAACAGTTTGAATGATAAAGGAAATTATGAAAAAAGAGGAACTTGTATGCAACATGTGGTTTATTATTTCACTTACACAGGGACCTTGTAGGGTGCTTAATGTTCATGCTGTTTTGTATCACTTCCGCAAATAAAATAATAGAGAAACCACATCCCATTCTTATTAAATTACATGTACAACCGTTAGGGTTTATTGGGGGTAAGGTTTACATGTGTGGCTATTTATGGAGTGACTTTGACCCACCATTGCAGATGACCATGCCCTGTAGTCACAGCTTGTTGCACCAAGGACACCTAGTGGGTTCACTTCCTGATTTGAGGCATGGGGCAGGGCTGCTAATTCTAGTTGAGCATTAAAGGCATGCCACATGTACATGTGTATACCGTACATCTGATACTAGTAGTACGGTTCAATCACTCATTAAATATTATACAACACTACAAAGCGATAATGTTGTATGTGTGTGTATGTTCACAGGCTAATCGCGCATGAAGCACGCGATCATCCACGATCGCCCACAAAAGTGGGTGACTTGCCCACAAAGTGGGCGACAGGCAGCAAAGCTGCGTCCCGCGAAACAGGTGAAGCGAAGCTCGCCAGGGGTGGATCCAGGAATTTTTGCAGGGGGGGGGGGTGTTTCATCAGCAATCAATGCTCAAATGTAGACAGGTTTTTTTCTCTGGACACTTGGCCTCCGCAAAATCAATAGGTGTGTAGGGGGGGGGGGGGCTTGTATTTCAATGGGGGTGCTGTTTAAATCTGACGGTGATAAGCACTATAACAGAATAGTGTACAAACACCCCCGTAGGGCCGTAACCCGGCTGATTCTGTCTGTATTTTGTCATGTTTGTGCACAGCCGTATATTATTAATATAATTTTTGGGGTGTGTCAGAGGAGGGGGGGGGGGGGGTTCACAATATTTTTATTGAATTTCTATGGGGTGTTTCTATGGGGTGTTTCGATCCCCCAAAACCCCCCTCTGGGGTTTAGTCTAAATTTTGCAAGAATGTTTATTTCCATATCTACTGTACTGTTTCTGGCACAGTCTGGTAATGCGGTTTAAAAATCAAGAACCAAGGGAGCTTTTGATGTGATATTAGTTTCAGAAAATTACAAGTCTCATATCTTGTTCAGGTTGGGAAAACATTGGGATATTGTGTGCAGGTACAATGTACATACCGTACATATACATACATTTCTGGAAATATGTGTTTAGCCTGCAGTTTGTATTCCTTTGGGGAAACAAATAATCATGACCTACATTACATGTATCAAGTATAATACATACATACACTACATGTACTGTACATGTGTATTTGCCAGCTCATGTATGGCTGACAGGTGAGAGAAAAGGTACAGTGCAGAGAGTGCAATATTTAGACACACACAAAACGACTGGAACAAAATGAACTACAGGTAGTACAACATTTGAATGAGCACATCGCTTTTTATTCGAACAAGTAAACATGTATACGTACACGTACATGTACATGTATGATTTATGGGGGGAAAAGGTATCCTATCATAATTTCACGACACCCTCATGTACACACGTTCTGTGTGAGGATGGACAATTGAAAAAATGTGAGACTCTGTATCCTATCCACACAAAAAATGAAGTATTAGATACGTATTTGAAAAGAAAAGTCAGACTTCGACCGCTTACTCATCTTTGCGTGTGTGCTTTTTTTCTGCATTTCAAAAATCTTTATTATTCTGGACACTTGAACTCGTGTGTACTGTTTGAAGATATTGACACAATTGATTGTGAGGTCAATTTGTTAAGCAATTATGTTTGTGACCTCATTTTCCTTCTGATGCAGATCTGTCATTGAATATTCATGTAAAAATGCCGTCGACCCACTTCTCATTCCCTTAACCGTCATGCTCTCTAAACCCGATAACTTTAGACTTGGCTTGGCATTCTTTGCCAGGGTCATAGTGCAGACCGGTTTATTTTTAGGGCAGCCAGCATAGCATGCAAAGAATGCTTGAGAGATAAAATGCTCTCTGTGTGTTGCTGTGGAGAACCTTCAAAGAATCTTCATGCGATGAAAAGACACTTCAGAACTGATGGGCAGAATATCTCTGCCTTGAACCAAATATGTATGCTGCACTGTACACTCTTCATGTACAGGCTGCATGATGCGTTAACCATTCAACCCCAAAGGCAATATAAAAATACCTGTACAATTTAACTTGGTTGTACATCATTTTTATGGATTCAGGATTATTAAGTGCAAGTCATTCAAACATACATGTATGCACAGAACAATGTGCATGATGTACGTAGATGTACCGGTATGTACATGTGTAAGTGGTCCTTGATTTCAAATTTACATAAATTATTTGAAAGATGTACATGTACATGTATGTATGTACTGTACGTAGAATGTGAGTTGGTTTACTTTGCACAATTTTTGATTTTTAACAAATTCAGGGAGTTTCTTGCAAAAATGCCCAGTGTTGATCGCATGATACAATACATGTAAACATACATGTTTTTTGTGGTGGGTTAGCTATCTATATTCAGTTTCAACATTCTGTCAGACCGTGGAGGGAGTTCAGGTGTGTACATGTACATGTATGTATGCAAGTTAAATTTATTGAAATTTTATCATGAATGGATTTAATGCAGTCCAGCAACCTCTTTCATTGTCTCCTTTTTTTTTATAATTTGAATGCATAGTATTACTATTACTACAATGTTATTTATA